CTCATCAACACTATTGGTTTGTTTGACGAAATAGCCATTGACTACCTGTGTCGAGGCTATGGCAGATGCGATAGCAGACATATCGCGGTTTGCAGTCACTGGGTTTGCGCTCGTAAGGGTCATAATTTCCACTAGGTAGATGACATTCTTGATGCCGGAACGGCGAAGGCGAAATTTTTGTTCGTAGAAGCGACCATCCTTTATACTGCCGAGTAAGTCAGATAGCCGTTTTCTCTCAACAATCCAGTCTAGAGCAACTTCGTCGCCTGCTTCGCCATATTGTGCAAGAAAATTAGGATCTTTGCATTTTGCAACCCATTGAATGTCCCCAACTTCCAGGGGCCGGACTATGGGCGAAACACCTCGCTTGACTAATTCGTTTGAGATATAGTCTCGATCTTGCCTGGAGCGTATTTCCCGGTAATCAAGCACCATCTCAATAGTAAAGCTGCCCCGGGGAAGAGTAAATCTAGATCCCTGCACAATTCCTCGCGACAATGGCGGAACATCGATTGAAATTGATTCATTTGTAGAATTCAGTGGTCGAGATGATTGTATGTTTCCGGAGTTTATGAAGTTATCCTGGAAAGCGTTAACTGTGACATTCATCTTATGAAACTGGCACAACTACTAACCATGGTAGTCCTGGTATCCGGAGGGAGCTGTGAATTTGCCCTAACCGTCTTCTGTATTTGCGTCGCAATTTCCCACCCTTCTTCTGTAAGTAGGTATCTCTTCAATGGTCTACCACGTTCATAGACAAGGTCCTTTTTAAGAAGAGTCTTCATTGAATCCCAAGCAGTGTGAAACTTGTTGGGGTCCGCGGGTGCAGTAAAGGAGGCATCGGCATGCGGCTGGGCAACTTCTATAAGCTGGTCTTTGGTCAAGCCTACTGACGAGCTCTGATCCACGGTAGCAAGGCCCAAGAGGAGTGCATAAGGCCCCGAACGCAGCGTTGGCACATATGGCTTTGTTTTCTTGGGTCGTTTCGGCGCTTGGCCTTCCTCCTGCTGCAAAGGGTCTGCAGATGGTCGTTTCTTGACTGCATAGTATGTTGTTAGTGTTATTTGCGTATAATCCAGTCAATGTACCTAGCAACTCACCCTGTTGCCGTGGTTGTTGTCGTTCTGGCATGGGGAGCCCATGCTTCTCACAGTGTTCCTTGAGCTTTGCGGTCAAGCGCTCACACATTTTAGGTCCGAGTCCACTCAGCTGCTGTGCCTCTGATGGGTGACTGAATTCTAACGGACACGCCTTCATGGAGTTATAGGCCTTTTTATACCTATTTCAAAGGGTATTAGATCCGGAAATGCCATCAGAACCCAGCTTTATACAGCCATAACTACATACACTGCGGATGCTCCCTTCATGTTCTTGTCCAAGGCTTCGTCATACCACTGCTTGAGCCAGCCTAGCAGCAAGGGGTTCGCGCAGGCCCCGTCTGCCATCTCGTCAGCGTCCATATCCATCGTCCATTCCCCTCCTCCACGGCCATCTACTAGTTGTATCGTAGACGTGAATGAATATCAAGTGGTGCTAATTCTCGCTGTTTTGTTTGTTTCTTAAGCCGGCCTTCCAAAACGCGAACAAAACGCGGGGTCACATGACCAATTTCCTGATTCGGCATGCAGGACGACATCGCTCTGCTGAGCCTCTGCCAGCGCTCCAGGAGACAGACAAGACGCTCGTCCAGGACCAGCCAGCGAGGCGTCAGCCATTGAGACGATGCTCTTGGGGCTGTTTGAAGCAATGGATGAGAGACGAGATCGGGGCGGAAAAACTAACTAACTACGACGCTGCACGAGCTGTGGGGGTGGAGCAAGAGTTTGCCTCCCTGCTCGTTCTCCTGGCGCAAGGGAGCAGAAGTCGCTAAGGTATCTAAGCCAGCACCCGATGTGCCTAAAGAGACACAATACACCGTTTCCAGCCTGACTGGCCCTCGCGATTACATGGATTTCATGCGACTCACGCCCTGGTGTCGCCCTCATTCTCGAGTCTTCCACAACCGACAGGGATGAAGCGGTCCCACGAGGCGGTTAGCCCTCCAAGGATCAACGGAGAAGAGTCGACTCACACAATTGTTGCGCCCAAGATATCAAAAGCTCGCGCATGTTAGTTTGCCTGTGCCATAAATCTGTAGCCTCGATATCTTCGATACTAAGTCTTCTTACAGGTGCAGAATGCAAGCGGCATAAGATTAAGTGCGAGGTGAAGCCTGGGGAAACCAGCTGCACCAAGTGCCTTAAAAGTGGTGCCAAATGCGTGGCCAATGACTTCTCTCAGAGATTCGTTGACGATGATGTTAAGTGGGTTACAGCCAGTGTTATTCCTTTTATTTTTGGGCTTTCCGCAAAGAAACTTGACTGACATGCGTCCCTTTCTCTCGCTATAGCTGGAAGGCTCAAGCCACAAATAGAATGCAGCGCCTCGAGGCTGCTGTGTCATATCTTCTCCGCGAGAACAAGTTCCCTTCGCTCTCAGCCTTTGACTTGACTCACTCGCCTGGAGCGCCTTCCGACCTAAGCTCTACTTCAAACCATGCGTCCAGCGAAGTTCGTGTTAATGATATGAATGCTACCAAGTCACTGGACATGACTAGAGAGAATTCTCAGGAACCAATGCCGGAAGAGCCTGATCTGGTACCTGCTCCCATGGGGACTCTATATGAAGTCACAAAGCTCCGTAATTTAAGAAGTAACCAAGTTGGGAAACCGAAGTCGACATTGATGGAAGAGGATTTCATTTCGAGAGGCTGCATTTCACTCCACGAGGCGGAGGAACTTTTTGCTTACTTTCGCCGTACCTTGAACCAGCTTCTCTGGGGTGGAATAATTTTGTTACATTCAGACCTATCCTCTGTGAGGAGGTCCTCATCACTCCTATCTGCGGCAATTTTAACAGTGTCTGCACTTCATATTCCCAACCGGACAGATACCCTTAACAAATGCTACAATGAGTTTGTCTCATTGATTGGAGCGGCCACCTTGTCACGCTATCACACACTGGATGACATTCGCGCCAGATGCATTGGTGCATTTTGGCTGCCAGATCTTAGTTGGAAGCTCTCCGGACAAGCCGTGCGGATAGCAACTGAAATCAACTTACATCACAGTTTCTTGAAGATGACCAGGGGCCAGACTGATCAGTTTGAGCGTGCTAAGCTCTGGTACTTGATCTATGTTTGTGAACATCATTTTAGCATTGCATATGGAAGGCCTCCTTCAATCCATGAAGACGCTGCTATTAAAAATTACGAAACTTTTCTACAATCTCCATCTGCTGTTCCAGGAGACGTTCGTCTTATTGCTCAAGTGGCATTGTTTGTCATTTTGACGGAAGCTTATCGGATATATGGGTCAGATACCGAGCAAGCATTGACCGAATCTGACTTCGGGCAACTGCGGTCTTTTAACAGGGCTATTGAGCAATGGAGGATGCTGTGGCAGCCCCGGTCTCGTATGTTTCAAACCATATGATATCTGCATTATCGGATCAAGGCCGTTAAGACTTGAACTAACTGTTTTTATAGTTGATAACCCATATGTCCGAACGTACCCTTCGAAGGGAGTTGTTCTGCACTATCATTTTGCTAGATTCCAGCTCAATTCCCTGGCACTTCGTGCCATTTCGCCAAATATGCAGTTTTCACCGGAGCGTGAGGAAGCCGCAAATGTAGCCATATCTTCGGCCATGGCTACCCTCAACCTCGTTCTAGAGGAGGTAGATTTACGTGACGCAGTCGTGGGTGTGCCAATATTCACACACACCATGATTACGTTCTCTGCTGTCTTCTTGCTCAAAGTTGCTGTTATCTGGAATACAGGATATCTGAATGTGGATGCTGGCCAGGTACAGCATTTGGTGGAAAGAATTATCGATTTAATTACACGCGCAAGTGCTGGAGAAAAACACCTGACTCGCCATATTTCGAGAGGACTTGGCAAAATGCTTGAACGATTCAAAGCATGGAACCGGTCTGCAGCAAACACCTCTCCTGATAGCACCAACATGACCAACCCGATTATGGACAGTGGGGCGGAGAGTAGTACTAGCTTCACACCTTCGAATATGTTAATATCCGACATGGTGGGCGCATATGGGTTCAATCTCGACGAGCATTTCCTTGACCCATACATGCCTAACTATGGGTTTTATGCCACTTGATTGGCAATCCTGAGATGTTAAGCGTATAATTTACAAATTGACTCTAAGATCTGCCTTGATATATCCATCTAAATATGTTGTTAATGGCATTCTCTGAAGGCACAGGTCACTCCTTATAATGCAACCCACCATGGGTTGAATATATGGCCGCCGAATTAAGAGTTCGATTTTTTCGCCATTTGCACTCACCACTCCCAATCTTTCGATATAAATATTCCCCCTTTTGTTTTTCTCAATTTTTTTTTATTAAACTTTCTGATAGTTTTCTTTGCTGTATGGTTCTGAATGGCGGGAATTTTCTCTTGCGCGAGGCCACATGTATAGGTAATTCGGTTTGTGGGCGTACAGGTTACTGATGGGCCTGTTTTTTTTAGATTCATATATTAGCGGATACCTTTAACTAATGAATATTGACAAAATCCCTAAGCTATCGACTCCCGCAGGTCATTAACATAGAAGTACACAGTGAACAAGTACTCATTACTGCTCATTTGTTTAACCATTAGATATTATGAATACGTACTCGTGCCTTCGCGCATACCCCTATTGGGTACGCCTCATCATATGAAATTACCACCGATTAATACCAAATTTATATAGGGAGGTATATCAAGGTAAATTCTATATCTTAACTACTATAAGCATTATATTTTCTCTCTAAATATATAAGAGGTCTTCTTTACTTTTAAGGAACCTACTCTTCTTAAGGAAATTAAATAATTATTACTTTCTTACTACTTAGTAAATTATATAGGAAATTATTATATATTACCCTCTATCCACCATATCTCGTTAAATAAATTAGACAAATATATTAGAAAGTATTATTTACTGGTAAAGAGGACCCTATTATATATCTAGAGGAAATATTATACTTATAGTAGTTAAGATATAGAGTTTACCTTGATATACCTCCCTATATAAATTTGGTATTAATCAGTGGTAATTTCATATGATGAGGCGTACCCAATAGGGGTATGCGCGAAGGCACGAGTATATGGTACAACTGCAAGCACCGGGTTTCCACAAAAATAGCTATGTAGGTTTCATACTCTTTGCTAGAGCCCAAAAATTCTCCATCTTTGCCCTTGCTAGCTGATCCTTTGCTGCGCCATCAGTCTCGCATACTCGAGCTCCAACCCATTTCCTAAACGCTCGGTTCTTTTCCTCCCCCTCCCAGATTAATGTACAGGTATTTAGACTCAAGTCTTTGAGTTCTCCCTTCTCATCTTCCGCAGCCAGCCAAGAAGTCAGCGCTTCACGGTTACCTTCTCGCACGGAGTTGGCACCTGAATTTTCGGTCCAGTCAATGCGGTTTAACATCAGCTTTTTATAAGCGTTGATAGAGTGGGCGCCCCCCTCTACAATCACGATGTTGAGCTTGGGGTGCATGATGCAGATGCCAGTAAGTGCATGCTGTTCTGCATTCTTGTTGATCTTAAATCGGTGGCGGCCATTTGCAAGACTGTCAATGCGGTAGACAGACACGCACACACCCTTGGCGGCATCCAATTCTTGCTTTGACGCCAATTTCTCATGCCGTTGCTCCTTTGTGAGTTTTCGAGCTTCGTTGGCGTCCTGATGTTTTTGTGCACGCTCAGCAATTTCACGGTTGACTCTAGCCTCAACAGCAGTAGGATCCTTGACTGCATCCTCACCCAGAACTCTCATAAGATTTGACTTTTTGACTTTCGGAGCGGGTACAGGCTCCAATCCAAGACGGATCTTAGCTTGTTGTTCTTTAAGATCCGCCATACGTCGTTGTCGACGAATCTTTGCTTGTTCCTTGGGGGTCAGGTACATGGGTTTCGGAGCGGGTATATTCTTGTCTTGCGGGGGTTCGAGAAGGACTGGGTGTTGTATATATATCGTAATGACTGAATCTGGAGTTTCAATCTTCAGCTTGCTGGGATCGTCGGTTGCAGTATAATCCGTTCCATTTACGAGCCCTTCATCCCACCATTCAATTGCCGGAGGTGCAGCCACAAGGTAGGATTTTTCAACATCGAGGTCTTCATCTATACCGGCCTGCCGAGCTCGCTCTGCAATCCGTTTTTTCATAGCTTCGAGCTGGGCCTGCCGTCTCAGAGCTGCAGCTTGTTGGATATATTTCCCCTTTTGATTAAAGATAAGCTGGCGCGTGTGACGGGGTCGTGCGGCTACAGACTTGGAGCCAAAGCTGGGATCAAAATATGGGTTATTCCTAGTTTCTTCTATGGATGGCCCAGATAAATCAAGAGGCGTTTTCCCTCGACTAGGTGGAGTAAAGGACTCAGATCGAAAGTTCGCCATAGTTGTTGCAAATTTCGGCTGCATGGCTTGTTTCCCTTTTGTGGTTCTACTGTCTTGCCCGCTGTCTCCAAGGAGTGCAGGATGCAAACCGACATCCAGTCCCCCTCTTGCCCTCATCATACTATCATCATTAGCCGGAGAAGGAGGAATGGGAGCAAAACTGGGGGCAGATTGGGGCGGGTTAGCCGCAGAAGTATTTAGCTTCCCAGTAGCTGCCGCAACTCTTGCTTTCATTTGTTCAAGCCTAGACATAGCCGGCGATGCTCCTCCAGATTGTTGTGCCGAAGGACCCGCCGTAGGTAATGAGGCAGCTCCTCCTGTCCCCTGAGCGTTAAGTCTAGCACGAACAGCTTCTGCCTTTGCCTTGGCTTCTGCAATCGCCTTCGCCATATCGACTTTCGGGGGAGGTGTTTGGGGTGCTGGAGACCCATTATTCGAGCGCGATCTCTTCTGAGAGGTGCCCTCATCGTCGAGCTGGTGAGATCTCTTGAGAGACCCGCCGGTAGAGGTGCCTGCCATGGAAATCGGTGTTGGTACGTAGTTTGTGTATTGAAGCTTGGAGATTGATAGAGACTGTCCACGAAACGCGCGGTAAGTTGAATGGCTTATGTCAGCAGCGTAAAGCTATGATTACGTAATAGATAACTGCATTTCCAAACTTTTTTATCGAAGCATGAAAAGGACGAAGGACATGAGTATGAGCGAGATTTCTAGCGCAGTGAGCAGTCTGTGGCAGTTTTTATAGGGTATACATCGTTGCCTGGAGCAAAATATTTAATTATTGCTGGGGTCTCTCACTGAATCCGCCTTAACTGAGCATGAACAGACATGATTATGTAAGCTGATAAAGCAAAGTCGGCGCCAGGCGGCAGAAAAAAAAAGTTTATTTGAGCTACACCCGAAAAGTGTAAAAAAAAAAAAAAGTTATCCAGAATCAACAACCACCGCGGACGCCGACTGCGCAGCTCTCCCTTCCACACAGACAGGCAGGTCGGAAGAAGCATGCAGCCATGTCGAGTTTCGCTATTCCCGTCTCGTCGTCCATCGGCGGAATTGACTTTGGAGTAATGTCCGATGAAGAGATTAAGGCGGTTTCTGTCAAGCGAATCTACAACACGCCCAGTTTAGACTCGTTCAATAACCCAATACCAGGCGGTCTATATGATGCTGCTTTGGGCGCATGGGGCGATCATATGTATGCTCGGCCTTTCAGTTTTGCAATGCATTGATGCACTTAAATGCCAGAAACACTGACAGAATTACCCGTTTAGATGTTCCACTTGTCGCCAGAACTCTTGGTCCTGCGCTGGGCATTCTGGTCATATCGAATTACCAGTTCACGTCTACAATGTTACCTTCTTTGACCAGTTATACAGACTACTTAGATCTCAGTGCATATACTGTCACCGGTTTAGGATGTCCCGCGTCCAGGTTAATAACTACTCCTGCAAGCTGCGGCTTCTACAATATGGGTTAATTGAAGAGGCGCATATCGTTGGGAACATGGAATTACGAAAAGGCGCTCGAGGGAAAGACGATTCGAGTGATGATGATAGCGACGATGAGGACGATGTTGGTTTGATACAGCGCAGGAATGCCTATGTCAAGCGTTGCATTGCAAACCTCCCTGTTCACAAGAGGAGCAGAAGCCATATGGAAATCGTTAAAGACCCCACTGCGGCAGAAATGCGGCGGAGTTTGGTACGGGATTTCCTGAGAGAGGCATGTGCTGTCAAAAAGTGCACTTCTTGTTCAGGGTTAGTAGTCCACTAGTGATTCTAATGCTACTATACGTGACCCATATTGACTCTGTTGGTTTTAGAATTTCTCCAGCCTATCGTCGAGACAAGTACTCGAAAATTTTCCGAAAATCTCTCCCGCAAAAGGCCAGAGTTGCCATGATGGAGGCTGGCTTCCAGATACCTAACCCTCTTATTCTGATGGAGGAGGCAAGCCGGCTGTCCCAAAGACAAAAAGACGGGGACAAGGCCGCAAAGCCAACAGAATCGCTTGATGATGATGATGATCAACCCAATGCGGAGCAACAAATCACAGTAGGCAATACTATTTTGATGGACGTTGAAGAAGATGCAGTGACCCAAGTAGGCGATTTTGAATCTCAGCAATATGTTCCTTCTTCGGAAATTCATGCTTCTCTTCATTTTCTATTCAACAAAGAACAGGAGATCCTCGATTTGATATATGACTCTCGGCCTTTTGTCAAGAAACGCTCTCATATCAGTGCCAATATGTTTTTCATCAAAAATATTCTCGTGCCTCCGAACAAGTTTCGACCAGCAGCTCAGCAGGGCCCAAACGAGATCATGGAAGCCCAGCAAAACACTTCTTTTGGCAGGATAATCAAGCTATGCGATCAAATCAATCAAATTAGCAGGGAGAGGCAGGGTGATACAGCCGGCACTTCAAGAAGAATTCGCGATTATCGTGATCTGCTCCAGGCAATTGTTCAGCTCCAAGATGCCGTAAACAGTCTCATAGATAGGGATAGAAATCCCTCTCAGGGGCTAGGTGCTCAAAATGAAGATGGTATAAAGCAGCGGCTGGAAAAGAAAGATGGTCTCTTCCGAAAGAACATGATGGGAAAACGAGTCAACTTTGCTGCTAGAAGTGTTATTTCCCCGGATCCAAATATTGAAACGAATGAAATCGGAATACCCCTTGTTTTTGCAAAGAAGCTGACATACCCCGAACCAGTAACGAACCATAACTACTGGGAGCTGAAACAGGCTGTTATTAATGGGCCAGACATATACCCCGGTGCAGCTGCTGTTGAAAACGAGCTTGGGCAAGTGGTCAGCTTGAAATTCAAGACTGTGGACGAAAGAGTAGCGATTGCCAACTTGCTTCTCTCACCATCTAACTGGAAGCTTAAGAGGTCACGCAATAAGAGAGTGTATCGCCACCTTACGACAGGAGATGTTGTTTTAATGAACCGGCAGCCAACACTTCATAAACCTTCTATCATGGGCCACCGTGCAAGAGTCCTGACTGGTGAGAGAACAATTCGCATGCACTACGCCAACTGTAATACATACAATGCCGACTTCGATGGTGATGAAATGAACATGCATTTCCCACAAAATGAAATTGCCCGTGCGGAAGCCATGCAACTTGCGGATACCGACCACCAATATCTCGTCGCTACATCTGGAAAGCCTCTCCGTGGTTTAATCCAAGACCATTTATCCATGGGAGTATGGCTTACTTGCCGAGACAGTCTCTTCGATGAGAATGACTACCACCAACTACTCTATAGTTGTCTACGGCCTGAAAATTCGCACACCGTATCTGACAAAATCTGGCTCATGCCACCTGCTATCTTCAAACCACTGCCCCTCTGGACTGGAAAGCAGATAATAAGTACGGTTTTGAAGAATATCACTCCGGATAACCGGGCTGGTCTTAACCTGGACAGCAAGTCATCTACACCGGGAGACCGCTGGGGTGATAAAGCTGAGGGTGAAGTTACTGTAAGAGACGGAGAACTGATATCTGGAATTCTTGATAAAAGTCAACTCGGTCCTACTGTCGGTGGCCTCATCCATTCTATTCATGAAGTCTATGGTCACATAGTCGCTGGCAAACTGATTGGTATTCTTGGTCGTCTTTTAACCAAAGTCCTACACATGCGTGCATTTACCTGTGGAATGGATGATCTCCGGCTGACAGAAGAAGGAAATGCCAAACGAAAAGAGTTAATCCAACAAGCGGATGGCCTTGGTAAAGAAATATCACTGAAATATGTTACTTTAGACGAAAACAAAGTAGAAGACGAGGACACTGAGCTGCAACGTCGTCTTGAGGAAGTGCTACGGGACGATGATAAGCATGCTGGACTTGATGCTATGTATAAGTCGCGTGCGGGTGAACTTTCATCGGAAATTACCAAGGCTTGCCTGCCTAGTGGGCTTGAAAAACCCTTTCCCTTCAACAACATGCAGACCATGACTGTATCGGGAGCCAAGGGTTCAATGGTTAACGCCAACCTGATTTCCTGCAACCTAGGTCAGCAAGTTTTAGAAGGTCGCCGAGTTCCCGTCATGATAAGCGGGAAGACTCTTCCATCATTCCAGCCATTCGAGACCAAAATTGGAGCTGGTGGATATGTTTTTGGACGTTTCTTGACTGGAATTAAGCCGCATGAATATTATTTTCACGCCATGGCTGGCAGGGAAGGTCTAATTGATACCGCTGTCAAGACTTCACGATCAGGCTACCTCCAGCGCTGTTTAATCAAGGGAATGGAAGGCCTAAAGGCGGAATATGATACCTCTGTTCGAGACACTTCTGACGGGTCGATCGTACAGTTTTTGTATGGAGAAGATGGGCTTGATATAACAAAACAGAAGCACTTGGACAGTTTCTCCTTTTTGGCACAAAACTATATGTCGATAGTGTCGCAGGTTAACGGGGTGAAAGACTCGAGTAAGATTCACAGCGAGGAAGCAACTAATTGGTCCAAGGCTGCCCTGAAGAAGATAAAAAAGACAGGAAAGATCGAAGCTAAAGACCCTGCGTTGGCTCACTTTCCCCCTGGTGCCAACTACGGTAGCACCTCCGAGAAGTTTTCTTCGGCACTTAAGAAGGTATGGCCATTAATTTATTAACGTCTACCTATACCAGAGCTAACACGATGTTTAATTTAGTATCTCAAATCCAATCCCGACAACCTACTCAAAGACAAAAGCACAGGCGAGGGTGAAATCACTAAAAAGGCTTTTACAACAATGATGAACATGAAATATATGAAATCAGTCATTGACCCTGGTGAGGCCATTGGTATAGTCGCCGGTCAATCTGTTGGTGAGCCATCGACCCAGATGACTCTAAATACTTTCCACTTGGCTGGTCACGCGGCCAAAAACGTCACACTCGGTATTCCCAGACTTAGGGAAATCGTCATGACAGCTAGCAGCCATATCATGACACCAACGATGACTTTGAAACTAAACAAGCAGACAGACGAAAAGACCGCGAGATTGTTTGCTAAGACCATCACCAAGCTGACCCTCGCCGAAGTAGTTGATAAATTGAAAGTTCGAGAACGTGTCACATCACAGGGAAGTACAAAGGCTAAGGTCTATGACATCCAAATCGACTTTTTCCCTCCTGAAGCATACTGTGCCGAGTACGCTATTCAAGTGAATGATGTACTCCGAACGCTCGAAGAGAAATTTATACCCCGCCTTGTCAAGCTCACTGAAGCTGAATTGAAGAAGCGAACTTCTGAGAAGTCCTTGTCTAGCCCCTCTGCTGCCCAACCCGAGATTGGAGCCTCTGTTGGTGTTGTGGAAGAAGCTAGGCGTGAAGGAAGGGACAATGATGAAGACGATGATGAAGACTTGGATGATGCTAAACGTGCTAGCTCCTCGCGCAACAATGCTGGTCAAGCCTCGTATGAAGCTCCTGATGAGGGAGAGCAAGAGATCATCAGAAGGCAGAATACACCTGATCTTGAATCTGATGATGAGGACACCGACGATAAACAAAAGCCTGCCATAGTGGACAACAGTGACAGTGACACCGATATGGAAGTTCCTGGTCCCTCCAAAACTAGGAAATTGGCCAACAGCAGAGACCGGGCAGAGGCTCTCAGGGGGAAGTACCCTGCCCTCACACAGTTCAAATTCAACCCAGACAACGGAAGTTTGTGTACCATTCAACTCCAATATGACATTTCCACACCAAAGCTTTTGCTTCTCCCCTTGGTGGAAAACGCAGCTCGTACTTCAGTCATACAGTTCATCCCTGGACTTGGAAGTTGCGCGTATATACCAGCTGATAAGGGTGAACCTGAACATGTTGTAACGGAAGGTGTTAATTTGCTAGCGATGCGCGACTATCAGGATATTATTGACCCACACTCCATATATTCCAATTCTGTGTCTCACATGCTTGGCCTATATGGCGTTGAGGCAGCCAGGGCTACTATCGTTAGTGAAGTTGGAGCCGTTTTCGAAGGCCACGGTATCAAAGTGGATAACCGACATCTTACCCTTATCGCGGATGTCATGACTCAGACTGGCGGTTATCGCGCATTCAACCGTATGGGTATTGTTAAAGATAGCACATCTCCATTGATGAAGATGAGTTTCGAAACAACAGTTCGCTTCCTTCGTGACGCAGTCTTAGAGAGGGACTGGGATAACCTCAACGGCCCTAGCAGCAGAATTGTTGTAGGTAGAGTTGGAACTGTTGGCACAGGTGCTTTTGATGTACTTGCGCCTGTTGGATAGATATTTAAAAAGGAAAAAGTAGTGAGGGCGTTTATTTGTTTTCTACATGCATTTAAGGTTTTAGCCATACTGATAGTCCATGTTAATGTCAAGCTTGTGTTCTAGCGTAGGAAATTGGCTCACAATAAGCCTTGGGTTCATTGGTGGTTAGAGAAGCGGGCTGAATAGGCGGTTATACCCTGAAGACGAAAAGGTATCGATCAATAATTACACCGGGTGGTAACAACGCCTTTATCCCATACACGTCTTAATAACACCATGGCCAACTAGATATGTTTGTACCCTCCCCAAATTCTACCTGCAGGTCTTTGAAACTGGCCTATGACTCGAGTTCCGCGAGAAGGTCCTCATTAAAATCGTCGTCATCACCCATGGCAGTATCAGCTATCCCTGTGTTGGTTGCATCCCACGCCATTTTATTCCCCTGCGTCTTTTCTATCTCTTGCTTCTGTTTTTCCAAATGATGCTTTAGGTCTTCTAAGCTCCATGTTGAAATACCTTCCTGGTCCTTTGCTTTAAAAGGTTGTGCCATTGACTTCAAGAAACTCTTCGCCGTTGCAACAGCCATATCAGTACTTAAATTGGTTTCACTCTCAAGCATGGCCTGGCTTATCCATTTGGGCAATTGGTTTCGTTTTTTCTGGAATCTACGGTCAGCAAGTACCATGACTCCGTAATCATCCTTTCCACGAAGGACACGTCCAAGACACTGCGCTGCATGTCGAAGTGCGTCGAAAGAGAGAAAATCGTTCTCACGTATACGGTAGTTTTCTCGCAAGAACTCGAGACGAGCCTTCAGGATTCGGGATTCTGTATATTGAAACGGAACGCCAATGCAAAGGACAGTTCGTCCATAATGATGGTCGAAATCAATTCCCTCAGAAACTTTTCCTCGGGCAACACACAGGAGCACAGCACCACGGCCATTGCAACATGCAGTACGGTAGGTTTCAAGAGCAAGCGACGACTCCTGAGAATCGGGTGTTTCCACGAGAATCAACTTATAGTTCCAGACAGAGTCTAGAATCCCCATCCCCTGCCACATACTAATTATAGACTCCATGTAAAGGTAAGATGGAAAAAAGACAACAACCCCATCGGGGGTAATACGGCAAAACTCAAGGAGCATGTTTCCATAATTTCTAACAACTCCTGGATCGTTGCGTATTTGGAACGATGATGATATTTGTGCCTGATCGGAGCCCCGCGTAACGATCATTGGTAAAAAGGAGCGGCGGGCAAGAGTCATACTGTAGGATTCCTGTAGGGCAGCATCAAATCCTAGCATCTTTGGATACATCTCCAAAGGAGAAAGCGTTCCAGAAGTTATAATGACTGAGCTAAACCTGTCGAATACAGGCTTTATGGCAATAGCTGCATCCAGGCAAGTGAAATGTAAAATCGGATTGGGAACGGTTGCCGTGTCCGATTCAAAGGGTTCAAGAATGAGTAGAAAGCCTTTTTCGTAAGTTGCAGCAAGCGTAGCGAATGTGGCAACCTCTTGAAGAGGTTGGTAGTCTTCGATATTCACAAGCTCCAGTGTGCGAACCAAGGATGTAAGTCGTTCTGCGCAAAATCGCAGAGGTTTTCGTTCTATAAACGTCAGATCTTTGAGATGGGAAAGGAACGAAAGCGGTGTTTCCGAGATTGTATGGGTAACTTTCATCCGAGTTTTTAGGTATTCAATGAAGCGTTTCAAAAAGGCCACAAAATGTTCAGCTCGACGAATATTTCCAGGTACAGATTCTTTCAGAAGATCATCTGGGAGAACAGGATTTGCCATCAGCTGTTCCTCCTCTCGTGCTTCGTCTGCCTCCCGCAACCCTTCCACGAGTTTTTGGTATTCATTTTGCAGCCTGTCAGCATCTGAGCTCTTCATATCGTCTATTTTACGTTCGAGGTTGTTGGCGCCACGGCTGGCTTTCCGCAATGAGTCCTCTGTGAGATCAATGCTCAGGGATTCGATACAGACGTTATCGATGTTATGGGCCTCGTCAAAGACTATTATACTATCGCGAGATAACTCTTTGGATACTCTCTCGGCAATTTTTGGGTCGAGAAGATAATGATAAGAGTAAATTATGACGTTGCAATATGGCATCTAATAGCATTTTTAGTGTTATGTGGTCGGAAGGCAACTCGATGAGGCTGCCGTTAAGCTTACCATTCGCCGAGCAGAGAAATATGGACACTGCTTGTGTTGTTCTCCGTATTTAAGGAGTCCATCAAGTGTAAAAACCCCCGGGGGAACTAAGTTACTAGGTTCTAAAAGGTCTAAATTCTGCCACAAGTTAGTTTTAGCCCTTGAAATTGGACTGCTGGAGCGGACCTCATGATATATGCAGAGCTCAACGTCCTCCCCTTTCTCTTTTTTTTCCTTGATAAAGCCTGCTGTAAGACTCCGACATCGAGCATCAACTACTGCTCCACTCTTTTCGCGCTTTACAGAAGGGTGCAAACACAAATTCTTTCTGCTGGTGAGGCCCAAGGCTCGAAAATCTTCCACGACTCCGAGTTTCTGGGAACGATATTTCATTAGCGCGCGTAGTTCACTCAAGGCCTTTTCAATCTCAGACATGGTTCGGGAACAGTAAATCAGCTTTCTATGCTCTGGGTAATGTTGTTGGTAGGCGACAATCAGGGCGAGTAGAGTAATTGTTTTCCCTGTCCCAGAGGGCATCTCTAAGACACAGTGGCCGCCCGCATCCAGGACCTTCTTGAGATCGCACATATATGCATATTGTTCAGGATATATCCGAGGGTAAGGAAAGAGAATTGGAAGGTCACTTTGTTGAATCAAGAATAGTTAGCTCAGGGAATTGGGGTTGGTGAAAAGGGCCAGGCCTACTCTATAAAGAACTCCATCTTGAGATCTCCACGGCTGGCCGTGGGAATAGGGAAAGACTATCGCTACTACACCTGCCCCAGGGCAGATCTTCCCAGTCAAAATATCAAGCACCGACTGATATCAACGATAATGTCAACTTCTGAACCTCCATCTCGAACATCAAAAGAAACTCCGCAGAGCCTCATCAAACTAAGCTACCTAGCTTACTAGTCATTAGTCATTCTATCACGTGAACGATCGTCAGCCTCCCCCACTGATAGTTGAATAATCGTAATTGTCGTCTGTCGGAGAGCTGTTTTCGGATCGCGAACGACAGCTTCTCAGCGCCGGCCAAAGCTGGTTGTCCTCGATTCTACGCCACAAAAGAGCAGAAAAAGTTGAACGATGACTGGATTTGGCTGAATTTGGCTCCAGACCCTCTATTTATTTGATTTTACTTTCCGCACTTCCACTTCCATCTCTCTACCTACGTCTCAACTTTTACTTGCCCCGCCGCCATGAGTGGGAAGAAGTTCAAATCACACGCTTCAAGCAGCCGAGCAGCTGCCGGAGGATTCGGGGGAGGCTCGCACAGTCCATTTGGCGGCTTCTCTACCGCTGGACCTGCTCAGGAAACCCCGACATCATCCCTATCCTATGTTTATGAGCCCCCAGACTTATCTCAGATATCCAACCCCCAGATTGTGGTCACATTTAAGAATCTTTTAAAAAAAGATAGTACCACGAAGGCTAGAGCACTTGAAGATTTACAGAGTCATGTGTCTAATGTGGTGTCAAGCAATTCCTCCCTCGATGATGGATTGCTAGAAGCATGGGTGCGTTCCCCTTTCTTCCGCAATAGCCAGATTATATGGAATAGGAGTATTTACTTTTTTTTCTTTAAAAAAATTGTTTTGTTCAGTCTAAGGTTTACCCACCCACCTCGATAGATTCCTCTCGTCGAGTCCGGCAGCTTGCCCACAGTCTGCAGGGAGATATAGTTTCCACAGCTGGAAAACGCATTGCACGGTATATCAGTGGTACCATAGGCACATGGCTGGCGGGCCTGTACGAAAATGATAAGCTCGTTAAGAAGTCTGCCCAGGACTCACTCGCCAAATCCTTCCCTACAGAAGAGAAGCAGCAGGGGATATGGACCGTGTACCAGACTTCCATACTCGAATTCATAGCGGACGCTACACTCCAACAAACACCACTGACTCTGAGTGATGAAAGAACTGTGCGGCCGGACGACGCAAATGCAAAACATGCGAGGGTGGTTGCAACAGCGTTACTGGAGTTTAATAGGCTCTTAGGTATTGATGCACCAACCATCTCCCCTATATATATATATATATATATATATATATAAAAGATGCTAACACAAAACAGCCACCGCCCCTACAGAAAAGCTCTCCAAAGATACGGATTCAGTGGAGAATATCCTTCAGAGTCGAGACCTATGGAAGTTTTCCTATCACGAGGATGCATTTGTTCGACGATCGTTGTATGAACTTTTACAAACTTGCCTCTTCAAGAATATCGATTGCGTCAATTGGAAAATAATAAGTACCTGTGTGCTATCAAAATCACTGGGTATATCACAGACCGGCTCATCCTCCACATTTTCGGCTCTCCTATTGACATTGACCAAAAAATCTCCTCAGCTCTGGACCACATATTACTCCGCCAAATCCCCGGCTAAAAAGCAATTGATGCGGTATATAAAAGCCGGATCAGAAGGGGCTGGCCCATCGTATTGGTCAGAGTTACAACTTATCTTGCAGTCACTCCCAATGGAGGTGCTGGAAATAGATAAGGGAGATGAAGCTGCCATGCACTCCATCATATCTATCGTTGAGGCAATTCACTGCTCACTTAAAAAGAGGGAGGAAGCGAGGACAAATTTATTAGCTGCCTGGGCTACTTATATTAAAGTGAGCATCTGGATGAGTGGTAAGATTCCTGTAGGTGAAAAGCGCCTCAATTTCTTGGAAGATCATCTATTTCCGATTCTTGTGCAATTCATCGCTGCAGATCAAGCACAAGCCATATGGACTATAGATGATCCCAACGCCTCCAAGGTTTGTGTTGAATTGTTTATTGCACTAAGCCAGATGCTAGAACACGACACTACCAGCGGCTTGTGTATAAAATTGGCAACAATACTGAAAGATAACATTTTAATTTCGGAGCCAGAACAGTCCCAGACATACCGAGCTTCGCAGGATGCGGTTTGCTCTAAAGGAAGTCGGTTTTTCACGCTTTTCAGTGGAATTGTTACAAAAGCTCCTGAAAGCAGTCAGCATGATTTTGTTGTGGAATCTATCAAAAGTAGCTCGTTTTCATTGATAGAGACATCTCTTCAAACACTTCAATCTCGAAATGGGAAACCATATGGCGCTGCAGCAGTGGTCGATGAGGCTCTTACCAAGATACCATCACTAATTGGTGAGATGGAAGCCTTGGATCCTTTTCTTTCCAATACTCTCCCTCAGCTCATCTTCTCGCCTTCAGCAGACCATTTGGTGTCTATTCTATTTGCCTGCCGGAGCAGGAAAGGATTTAATGACGCCCTCGGAAAAGTAATCAATACATACCACAATACTTTGATTTCCTCTTCTCAACTGCCGTCAATGGGCAATTTATTTTCCTCAGTGACAGCTTTTGATGAAGAAAATAATCCAGACTTCAAGCTGTTGATTTTAGGTGTGCTTCAGCAAGGTGTTCGTGGGGACCATCAGTCTTGGCTGGACATTGCAGCAGTTCTTCAGAACAAGAAACTTGGGCCGGAGATTTCTAATACCATCCTTGATTCTTTAGTTGGAAGGCTGTCCAATGAAGGCTCAGTGATGGAGGTTCTTCGTGGGCTGTTGCTTCTTTCTACAGAAAGTGCCGCACCAATCCAGTCATATGTCTCAAGCTCGAATGGCTCGAAACTGATTTCCAAGCTGTTATATCTTACCGAATCTTCCAACGATGAGGTAGCATTACTCGCTGCGTCCTTAAAAGAACAGATTACGAGTATTGGAGGTGATAATAACTCTCTTAAACCAACCCTTGAAGTTTTAGAAAGGAATTTCAAAACGGTGGACGATGAATCATTATCGTAAGTAATTTTTTTTTTGGGAGAAGGGGGGGGGGATAGGAAACTCTACTAATTCATTCGATAGTGTTGAATCATTAGTAGCCATTGTTCAAGAAGTTCTCGATCAATCGTCTACAGATGATAGCCCTATGCTATTGCTCTCACTACTACCTAGAGAGAGTTCATGGAAGGCCGCCTTAGATCCTTACTTTGAAGTCCCCCCCAAGCGATCATGTTCAATAATGAGTCCGCTAGGGGGTGCAGTGCATATCATTGACGCGTCGCGTAACTTGGGCATTTTACGTGCTCTCCCAAGAGACAGGGATGGTTTCCCATTAGCATTCCGGCTTGCTTACTATGTCACCAAGCTTCTAACAGCTGTTGGTATTGACGCCTTGCCTCTACCACCGCTCGAGAATGTTTTTACATATTTACCATTGATTATCCAGCTTGTTGATGAAGAATTGAGTATTGACGAGTCTACGGCAATCATATATCCCCTCACCTCTGACACCCGAACAATTGCGATTGAAATTGTTTCTGAGGCTCGCATCCTGATGAATGGTTGGATTCAGAAGTCATGTACCGCAGATGCAGCCTTTAAGGCTGGCGCTAGATCATTTGTATTCTTCTGGGAGAGGAGTGTTTACAACTTCGAAGGCATCAACCCTAGAGCATACCGGTTTGCAGAGTGCTTCGCACGTATCCTGACTGAAAGGGACGCAATAAGGCCGACACCGTCAGCTGATGGCAAATTAAAAGCAGCAATGGAAACCCCAGGGCTTTCTAATCCCTTTATCCTAATTGCGACTATTGTTGGATACAGGGACTCCATTATCGAGACGCAAACCGTTGTAAAGCTCTGTAACCAGCTAGTTGCAGACATGACGGGTTTAAAGCATACGGACAATATTGGAGGTGCGTTTGTATATTTTTGGGTCTCATTTTTACCCCTCATGGCTGACACCACGGTCACAGATTTACGAAAACTTGTAATCCTCAATTCTCTGATGTATGGAGGAAAGAATCCAGCGAAGAATATCCCCACGCAGAGGCTAGTGTTCTTAGTGAAGCATCTTATTACATGTTTGCGGTCTGGGGAGTTCGGGGTTGGAATAATCTCAGAAATACTGAAAGTTTTGTCGGCAGTTTTGCCCTTGATGAAGGAAATATATGGGTCACATTGGCCAGACTTATTTGATGTGCTGAAGACATTGTGGCAAAAGGGTGGGCTATCCAGCGAATATCTCCCTGTTCTACATTCCTCTTTGCGTTTGTTCAGTTGCTTGAGGAAGCTGGCGACTGAGGACAGCAACGAGGATCTGGAGGATGCATGGAAAGAAGCTCGAAAGTCGCACACAGAAACCATGGTCAACATGTTAAAGCAGTTCGGTAAAGCTTGACCCCATTTAATGGCATAAAGTATCGGATTGCTGACACACTTATAACAATAGGCCCTTCTTTTCACCCTGACCAACCCTGGGATATCACAACCGATCTCCTATCGCGAGAACTGTCTGTCATCAATGCTGATGCAATCTCTGATATTAGTGAATTATTTCCCAGCCTTTCCATCGAAAGCAAAGGTGTACAGCGTGCAACATATGGAATAATTCACCGAGTAATACCCAAAATACAGGAGACCTTGTCTTTCGACGTGGCTCTTTCCAAAACTGCAGTCCATCTACCAGGCCAGCTCTTGGACCTTCTCTCAGAGGTGCCACCCATAGCGCCGTTTAGAGAGACAGATATAGAGGAGAATTTTTGGCTGGGAGCTCGCTCGTATCTTCTTGGCTGGAAAGTGGTGTTTGATCATTTCGCATCTTCGGTGAGACTGCGTGCTGTCCAAACCAAGCCTTAATCATATATTACCCAGTTCTAACTGATCTTCAGTCAATACCTGTCCAAGAGAGTTACAGCTCTGATATAAAGCAGAAAGACTGCCTGAGTTCGCTGCTGGATTTTACATTCGACTGCCTAGAGACACCCCAGGGTCAGCTGATTGATGCTTCAAAGTTTGAGATTCGCTCGTTTGAACTAGATAATGCCGAGTCATCGAAAAGGGAGATGCAATGGCTTCTAGTCCACACCTACTACCTAGCTTTAAGATACCTACCAAATACGACTCGAGCTTGGTGGGTTGACTGCAAAAAACGGTTGAAGACACCTGTGGAAACCTGGACACAGAGATATGTGAGTACCTGTATTTGGGGGAAGTATTTGACCTGTGTTGCTAACTGCTGTCAGGTTTCCCCCTTTATAATAGAGGACTCGTTGCAGAGTGTAAGCAACTGGTACTCTGGCCAGGACTGGGACAATGAGGACCATGCTCTTGAAGTCAAAGTATCCTCCAAAGCGGCGGAGATCATCGGCAGCATCGAGATAGATGAGGAATCACCACCGACATCTATTGCTATATCCCTTCCCCCAACCTACCCGCTGCATCAAGCCACTGTTAGTGGACGCTCCCGCGTAGCCGTTGACGAGAAGAAATGGAAGAGCTGGCTTTTGGTGATCCAAGGCGTGATCCTGTTTTCCAACGGAAACCTCATGGACGGGCTGATGGCATTCAGGCGGAATGTACAGGGAGCTTTGAAGGGACAGGGCGAGTGTCCCATCTGCTGCTCTATAATCTCCGCCAACATGCAGACGCCGAACAAGAAATGCGGAACTTGCAAGAATACGTTCCATTCAGACTGCTTGTTCAGGTGGTTTAGGAGCAGCAACTCGAGCAGCTGCCCGCTGTGCCGGAACAGCTTTTTGTATTCTTGATCTCATGGACAGCCATGCGAGAGACTTATATAGACCTGCGTAGAATGTATCAATACTATGTTATTCGACATTTCACTATGTACATCTAAATAGCATTGATCTTCTGCGCTGCCTACAGCTTGGGCCTTGTTTAAATCAGTGGTGAGTCTATGATGTCAATGTTGACAGGGAAAACGAACGTCGTGGGGCAGCTGAGTTAACTGAATAGAATAACCTACTTACGACCGAAAGCTAAAGCTATCGATCCAACCTACGACGACGACGACAGCAACAACGACAACAACGACAACAACAAACAGCCAACGGGGATATATTCTCTCCAATGTCAGCTGCTCATATCCCCAACCTCAATACACTGCGGCGAGGTGGTGGGAGAGGCCGCGGAAGAGGTAGGGCCGGCTATCCTGGCACCGCAGGCCGCGGGGAGGGCAACTTGGGGGACAAGGTGGTGCAACAAACAGACAACGATGCCAGCGTCTCGAGACTCAGCGCCGTCGAGCTGGGCTATCTTCACGATCCTTTTGCCTCTATCCTCGCACCAGAGACAGCTGAGATACGAAGATATCCCATCATTAACAGAGGTACGTGTCGCTTGTTTCGTGTCTGACATGCTACATTCGCGCTAACTGGAGACACCCAGGAACATATGTGCGGACGACCTCGATTGACGTACTGGTTTCCCGATTCCTCTGGGCAGATAAAAGGAAGAAGCAGATAATTTCGCTCGGAGCTGGGTCGGATACTCGAGTATTCAGGTTGTTGTCAGGAAATCCAGAGCTGGATCTGACGTACCATGAACTTGACTTTGCAGAAAACACGACCTCGAAGATCGCGAAGATCCTCTCCTCTCCACCGCTCCTGGACGCCCTCGGTATCACAGACCGAGAGGAAGCGACGACGTCTTCCAATGGTGATGCATTCCACTCGAAACACTACCACATTCACCCCATAGATCTACGAACGCTCACAGCGTCGTCCAACGGCCCGGACCGTCCACGGCTTCAAGATATAGATTCAAGCGCCCCGACATTGTTGATCTCAGAGTGTTGTCTAGTGTATCTGCCTCCTGCCGATGCTGTGAAGGTTGTCTCCCATTTTACGGATAACATGTTCTCTCCAACCACGCCCCTTGCACTGGTTATATATGAACCCATTAGACCAGATGACCCGTTCGGAAGGACGATGGTGAATAATCTGGCGGCCCGCGGAATTCAGCTGCAGACGCTTCATCGTTATGCGTCACTACAAGCCCAGAGGGAGCGGTTGCAGAGTCACGGTTTCTCAGGCGGTCAAGGAGTCGCCGACATTGATTTCATCTGGGAGAAGTGGATCGGAAAGGACGAGAAGAGTCGAGTTGCAGGACTTGAAATGCTGGACGAGGTCGAGGAGTGGCAGTTGCTCGCAAGGCATTACTGTGTTGCTTGGGGATGGCGAGATGGTCCGCCATCGCCCGGAGATCAAGAAACGCTTCCGACTGGCGAGGCCTTCCGCGGCTGGCAAGAGTTTCCATCACAATGAATAAACCTAATAATATACCGAGCCATTTACTCTGTACACTGTCAAAGATAATATACCGAGCCATTTACTCTGTACACTGTCAAAGATAATATACCGAGCCATTTACTCTGTACACTGTCAAAGAATAAGGAGTACTTCTCTTTGACAGGAGATCGTCCACTCTCCGAATATTCCAGGAGTTCTCCTTATTGATGATCCCTCTTCCAGGACGACAACAGTCGCTTTTGAACTACAATGATGATATGCGACTCAATATACGCCATACGACCATGCATCAAGCTGTCCAGGAAGTAACTCAAGGAGATGAAGTCTCCTGCCTCCCTCGTCCCCTTTTCCAACATCCAAGGACGCTGGTGATACATAATCACGTCACGTGGGTATTTGAGGCTAAAGCTCAATCTTCATCCGTGGAAAAGACTAGCGAATTTTGCCTTTGCATGAATGCGAGCAGTCATCTTCGCAATTATTTTCGGCCGGCCATAGCGAGTAAAAATGCGACAGCCAAGTGCCGATTCGCCAGGGTCAGGGAGCCACCTCGTCCGTGTGGTGGATCTTATTGGACTACACTGGCGATCTCAATTTAACCCCTGCACCAAACAGGTACCAAATCTTTTTCTGGATACGATTGTTGGTTAAGCCCACAGAGGCTCTCCGCGGCGCGAGTGATTCAGTTGTCCTGGAGAGCCTGATACGATACGGATGGAGGAAGCCCAGACTCGAAGAATGGGCGGGACTCTGCTGGAACCCTGTGTATACACTTACATTGACAAGGGCATACGAACTGTGATGAGTTATCTGGTGAGTTGGTGATGGCGTACAGAGGCGTCTTTTTCTCAATCGAGGGATGCCCTGGATTGGATGGATACCAGCGTGATGCAAGGCACAGTTCGCGTTCCTGGCCCGGAGCCGTGCCTGGCTGGCGAGGCTAGTCATAACCATGGTCGCCGATGCCACACTTCTTACTTAGGAGATTGCATGACCCCCTGGCAGCCATCAACTTGCCCCAGATGGCGTCCCACTAAATACGCCCGCATTCGCCAGTTAGTTCAAATCTCGCGGTCAACCTCCTTTTTGCGCTCTACCTCTTTTTAATCTTCAAAAAGTGTTTTTGCACCTCACCTTATACACTCTTTTGCGAAACCTGCCTGTCACTCCTTTAGTGCTACTGTCGAGACTGTTCCCCGCGTTCCATTCCTTTCTGTTGTATCTTTTTCCACACGATTGTTAAGAATAACTGCTTGGAAATTATCCTTCCTCGTTGCCCGTTTTCCTTTTATCAGCCATTCTTCACTACCGTTCAAGAGATACCGACAACGCTTACCGCAAGGATTACTGGGAAAGAACAGAAAGGTCAGCGTTGCGCACCAGCTGTGCGACAAATTCTGTTAATTGAAAGTCGATATGTTGTGCATACCAATCTGGACGTCAGCCGTCCTTTTCTTCCTTGCCGGCCCATCTCAAGCTGGACATGCCGATTTCCATAGTTATACTTCTGGGTTCAGTCGTCATCATGGAGGAGGTCATCAAAGATTCCATCGGTCCGTCCCTGCTCTGGAGGCCCATGGGGTGTCCTATATCGACAAGAGAGGCGGCCAATGCCAGTTCCCTACGGATGCTGGACTGGTAGCTGTTACCCCCAAGGCGATGAATGCTGGCTGGGCTATGAGTCCCGACCAGCCCTGTAAGCCTGATAGCTATTGTCCCTATGCTTGCCCCCCTGGCCAAGTTATGGCACAATGGGACCCAAAGGCCACTGCTTACACCTATCCCGCTTCAATGGTACGTCTAAATTATTCCTGAGACCGATGTCAAACTTGCCTAACTCCTTCTCAATAGAATGGTGGCCTATACTGTGATAAAAGTGGAAAGATTAGCAAGCCGTTCCCTGAGAAGCCGTACTGCGTTGATGCCTCGGGCCCTGTTAAAGTCAAGAACAGCTGTGGAGGAGTGGTTTCTTTCTGCCAGACTGTCCTTCCAGGAAATGAGGCTATGTTAATCCCTACCAGCGTGCATGATACCGCAGATCTCGCAGTTCCCGATCCGTCCTACTGGTGCTCAACCGCCGCTCAGTATGTATTAAAAAAAGTAGAGGTTCATATTTTGCTTATTTCCCTTCGCTAATTTTCGCTTGTCTAGTTACTATATCAACCCTCCAGGTACTGACACTGATACTGCCTGTGTATGGGGAACTAACGCCAACCCATGGGGTAACTGGTCTCCGTATGTCAGTGGTGCAAACACCGATAGCAGTGGGCAGAAAGAGAGAGAGAGAGAGAGACAGGTCTCGTCGGAAACGGCAACTCCCTTCAGGGATGAGAGCCCAAAGTTCGGTGTCAAGGTTGAATGCGAGGGGTGCAATGGACTCCCTTGTGAAATCGACCCAGCCAAGAACAAGGTCAATGATATCACTGGTAGTGGTACTGATGGTGCAGGTGGTGCTGCCTTCTGCGTCGTAACTGTTCCCAAGGGTACCCAGGCCACTATTGTTGTCTTCGAAGCTGGTAACAGTGGTGGCTCCGGTGATAACGGAAATGGTAATAAAGATGAGAAGCCAAAGGATGGCGGCAAGGAAGAGCCCAAGCCATCTTCAAGCTCTTCCTCGCCTGCTCCGTCGTCCACTCCTTCAAGCTCGTCCACTACGCAATCGCCGACCGCTACCTCCACGTCCGCCTCGTCCAGCTCCGAAAACACTCCGACGCCAACTAGTCCTTATTCGAGTAAGTCTAGCTCTACTACGTCATCGTCTGCGACTGCGGCTTACTCCACCACCTCGAAATATCCAGACGCCTACATGCCATCGCCCCACGTATTTATCGAGAGCCCTAGCTCATCCGTCCACCATCCCACCAATGGCTCCTCAATCATCATGCCGACCCCCACCAACTCCGAAATAGCTCCTGCTCCAACTCATAATAACGCTGCTTCGGCTACCGCAATCTCCGTGATGAGTCTCATGCTCAGCTTCCTGGTCGTCTCGATATTCGTGAACTTTTAAACAATACAAAAAAAAAAAGAAAAAAAAAAAAGAAAAAGCGGAAAGCATGGAGTAATTACCTGGGATTGGAAGCGCGTTACTTTTTCTAATTTTCTACTTTTTAACATCACATTTTACCTGATCACCACCCCTTTATATATTCTTTGCTACTTTATTGCAAGAATATAGGCCTATATACCCCCTTATATTTGCCGCCCTTCTTTTACACCTTTATTTCATAATTCACCCTTCACGATGAGATTTATGCGTAGGTCGGGGCTTTTTATGACATTTGTGGAACCCCCTATGATTTTTCTAACATTTATACCCTTCTGATATCCCCCTTTATATCTTATTACCTTCTTGTATACTAATTTTATTGATAATCATGGCTTCAAAACATGTTCCTTGCAGGTATACGTGTTTACTATTACTCTTGCCTTATGCCCGCTCTCCGTCCTCCTACTTATAGCATCCACATGCCCAACGCCAGCAAGCAGCCGTCCTTTGCTCCACGCACTTGCGTATATTTTAATCATCCCTTAGATCGACTTCCGTAACCTGATAGTGAGAGCTTAGTATTAGTCAGCGAGAAGAGTGCCATCTAATGCATGGTCACGTTATCCAAGCACCAAAATCATCCAATCATCTTGTTGAGATCAAAAATAGAATCCAGTCAAAAAGCAGCATCCCACTTGAACTGTCGAGTGGACGACATCCAGCTAACAAAGACATCCAGAGACCTCGAACTATCCATCTACAAATGGGCAAAACCAGCGGCCGCAAGGATATTTATCACTATGGCACGCTGTACTCGAGATGCGCCCCAGCTTGTTAACTGCAAGTGGTGGAAGCGAGGCTACTGCCAGAGGGGAGACCTATGCTACTTCCGCCATGATCCTTGCCTACTGGGCGTTGACCAGAAGGCTGATGTGTCCACGAATCCGAGCGATGCGAACGCTACCACTCAGATTACCAGTAAGTGCCGCATTCATGATACTATTATTGATTCCGCTTTGTATTGATGCCTAGGCGTAAGAACATGTTAAACGTCGGAGAGTCTCGGAATATAGTTAACTAACGGTCTTTTTTACAGATAAACCATCACAGCCTGGTCAAGCACACGGCTCGGCCAAGGAACCTGAGCGTTGCTCTATCTGCTTAGAAGTTCCGAAAATATACGGTTTATTGACTAAATGTGATCATGTATTTTGCCTAGGTTTGACATCTCCAGTCGCTGCGTATGTTGGAGCTTCCACTAACGAACTTGATGGCTAGAATGTATTCGACGTTGGAGAAATCCCAAGAAAGAAGATCGGAGTAGTGGCGACAGTGACAGCTCTTATTCTGGTGAATTATCTGCGATATGGGGCTCTAAATCAAAAAAATCTTGTCCCTTATGCCGTAAACCCAGCAGATACGTTATACCCTCCGCAATATTTCCTGCTCCACCTGTAGGTACAGGAGACTCTAAAGGTACAGTTGAAAACGAGGCACCGTCCTCCAATCAATCTGAACCCAATGGAAAATCCTATGCTACACCTAACCCATTGAAGACTTCGATCGTCAAAGAATATAACCGGAGTATGAAGAGGATACCCTGCCGGTACTTCCAGACTGCTGTAAAAAACTGGAAACAGGAGTTAGACGAAGCAACAGAAAAAAAGAGAGAAGCGCCTCCATTTCGACCGGGATGCTATTTTGGAAACAAATGCCATTACGCCCATATTGATCCTCAGGCTGGCCAGCCATATATATTCGATGCCGCGCTCATCAAAGAGATTAATAGAAAGCGATCACGGCGTAAAACCCAACGCCGAGGATGGAGCGATCTGGATGATTATCCCGTTTTCTTTGGTGATCTAGAACCGGATCTTGAGTATGCTTTTCTAACTGCCTATCTGGAAACAGGCAATGACTGGGAAATAGGAAATAACTGGGATGTATTAGATGACAGTGATTAAGACTGGCATACAGGAATTACACATCCTAATGAGCTTTTCAGTGATGAAAGAATGTGGTCATATATTATTGACATATTTTGTAAGATAGGTTACAGTGGCCCTGCTTCTTCGGTATGGTAAATATACATGGAGACTACGTGCTCATTTTGAGCTTGCCATCTTCCTTTCCTCAATATTCTGCCCATCCTGTTTCAAGGCATTTTGAAGTAGCTTTCTATGTTGTCATAGCGACCTCTATATTAGGGTTGTAAAAGTATTGTGGATTTTCTTTTAGCATTGATCTGAGCCGAACAGTTCGCAACTCCTAAGGAGGTATAACAAGCGTTTATCCATGCATTCAAGGAGGTGTTGTTCTCGAGCTACTTTCCGATGTATCTGAATTGGCATTGATTATGGGCGGCGAATGAGTATTTCGTAGGCTAGTATTTCGCTGAAGTATTTCTTTGATGACCTGTTTCTTCTCCTAAAGTAATCTTAATCTGCCATTGTTACATAAATGGCTTGTTTTCAGAGCATATTGGATATAGTTGCCGCGTTGCACTGTTCAGCGGTGGTGAGCTGTACCTTGATATTTGCCGTTTCCTACCAGGTCCGCGCAAATCTCAGTGGGCTTGGACACCTGCATTGGGTGGACCATGACTGTAGGGCCAACCTCGCTCATGGACAGGGCAAAGGGCTGTTTGGTATTGATATCTTGTCCCTGTGCCGTCGTCTCAAACTTGGTCCGCTTATCCAATTTTCTATGGCTGATCGTCCGGCAGCTTTCTGCTCCTATCCCGCCTGCAACTATCATTTTCAATTATAATAGCCGACCCTTCAAGATCTGCCACAGGACCTTGCATTTTCTAGCATGGATGGTCTACCAGCTGAGCTGAAGTGGGTAGAACCACCAATTATCCCTCAGACCAGTAGCACACGCGGATGTGCCTTGTTCCGCGGCCAAGGGGGGTATTGAGAAGCAGAAAATGTCTGTCCATAAGTTCTAAATGTATGCTATGCATGTATAGCTAGACGAGTAGACCCCTAAGCTCCTTGAAGACCTAAGGCGTAGCTGTTGGGCGCTATGGCGGCGCGTGAAGTTGTTGAAGTCAAGATGCAAAAAAGAGCCGAAGTCGCTCCCAAGCAAAAAGCGTTTCCCGCGGTTAACGTCGACGTCAACGCCAACTACAAGCATTTCTTCCTTGACCGCACAATACTGTGGACAACAGCAACGCCATAGATACGGTATTTATTTTATTTTATTCTACGAGATGATGTACTCTTTCTAGCTGAGATGCCGTTACCCAAGCAAACTGTAGGTTGTCTGTTCTTCTTCCTCTGCATGGCCGGCGCCAAAGTCCTCCGATGACGTCGTTGTATTTACAACCAGCACCACCACACATCGCCGAAATGCATCGTTTACTCAGATTTCTATATTTCTCTGCATTTATGAATCCAGGCTAATGTTCTGTTCTCCATATGCAACAGCAAGACTTAATATTTGCACTTCAGGCACTCGTCTTTCGACTCCGTCAACTCAAGAAAGAGCGGCAAGGCTACTCCAAGGCAAAGCATCGAGAGCTTGCAAAGCTGTTAAAAGAAGGCCGGGAAGATTTCGCTCGTATCAAGACGGAGGATGTTATTTCGAACGATAACCTGATAGCGGCCCTTGAGGTGCTTGAGCTGCACTGCGAGCAGCTGCAAGTTCGGGCCAATATTCTGGACCATCTCGCTTTTGGACAGAAGAATAAAACGCCAGCGAGGCACAGGGGCAAGGCACAACGGGATGCGAGATTGAAAACCTTTGCTGGCGGAGGTAAGGCTGGCTCACATCCTGCTGGCGAGGGCTCCAAATCTGCTCCTGGGGGTGGTTGGGGGATATGGAACCTCTTCGGTTTCTCTTCGGCGCCTGCCTCTTCATCGCAACATCTCACGGAGAGCTCACCAGGTCGGTCACCAGATGAACCAGTGGTTCAAGCTGAGGGAAATGATGAAGATGCTACAGAGAAGCAATATGAGGTTTACATAGACCCGGAGCTTGATCGCTCCGCAGCCGTGGTTTTCTATTGCTACGCCCGAATACCTCGTGATGTCCCAGGCCTATTAGAAGTGAAGAATAAACTGTCCCTACGTTGGGGAAGTGATTTTGTCAGCAGAGCACAGGATGATGACGATCTGCCGGTAGAGCTACCGGAGATTCTACTGGATAGACTACGAGTTCGAAAAGCCCCTGAGTCACTAGTGGAGAGCTACTTGACTGAAATTGCAAGGAGCCATGGGATACCATACGGTGATATCAATGTAGACGAGAAACAGGAAGCAGAACAGGGAGGGATATCAATAAACGATGCTCACCCAGCAGAAACGAAAAATGGCGAAGCACGGTCAACACAAGGGGCCTCTGGAGGCTCCGAGGCTCGTTCAGAGGCCAGCAATACAGCTGCCGCAAAGGATACTGCGAGTAAATTTGGAGGTATACCCGAAGTAGATGAGCTTGCTCGGAGGTTTGCTGCTTTAAAGAAATGAAGTGACGTGTCTTCACATACTTGCGTATATCAAGCTATATTCAAAGAGTGCATTGTGATATTCTATGTCTTCGTTATTATGGAGCCATTATATGATCCCGATTACAAGTACCCACGTAAATAGTTGACATATCACTATTGTACAGCTTTGTCCAAGCATAGTATTTGACAAACATATACTACAGTCATCAATCATTAACAGGAACTTGGGAGACAAGTCCGCCTTTCGATATCACAAGGGTACTTCATCGTCTACTAGAAATCAGCCAACCATCATGATAAAAACCAGGTTGTTAAATACCCTCCAACTGAAACCTGATAATTGCGCTAATACTGCCTTCAATACTTGGAGACCCCGGGAAGTAGTTGGGATTTGGTTGGCTGCCGGTAATGGGCAATGCAAAACCACCTGGCGCCAATGTCGATATCTTCTTCATCTTTACCACTGAGCCTTCACATTTCAAATGGAGGGAGATAGTAGGTGCCAGGAACAGCCAGTGTAACAAGTCCAATCTTTTGAACCAAGGGCAATTATAAGGCCATGACCACCTAGGTAGTGGCTCCCTATCCCTTGTCCACTTCCTGCTCTCCCGCCTCCAATTTATCCAACTGAGAGAAAAAGGAAGTGCTAGGTAAAGCTAGCTGTAGGTGATATTCTGCGATGTCGAAACTGTCTCTACAATCCATTGTAGATTCGCTAGTCCTCGAAACCCATATTTGAGGAGTTCCTAGCGCCCTAGATGAAATTTCTGGAGATCGGAGCTGCGAGGGTACTTGGTCCGCAGGGCGGGTACAGCGGTAGACAAGATGTTGACTTTCTTTCCACAAAGCATAGTAGAATGCTGCGTTGGCAGTGACAGCCGAACATACAATTTCAATTGAAGCCCACTAGTTTTACAAACCAAGTCAGCCACCTTATGGCGATTAAAAATGGATGTATAGGTTCAACGATGGCATACCAAAGTTCGGGACTCCTGGGAGACGGAGTGACTGAGAATTAGGGGTATTCTAGTGATGGTAATTGCCACTACCAGTGTGCCAACAAGGAAAAGGAGGGTTAATTGGACCTTACTATGTATGTTATTGTTAGAAGTGGCTTAATATAATATAAGATAACTGAAGACTTACGTCTGAAATTTGAGAGCACTCATCCTCCAGAGAAGTGGTATGGGAAATAAAATGAGAGCGAGGTCGGTTATTATGTTCAAAGATGCCATGCAGAGGAGATTCACAGTTCCCTTTCGACACAAATCTATACATATCCAATAATTAGCTTCACATACTCTTTTATGTTACTAATAATGCTACAAATATGTGCATTTTGGACTCACGATGGCTATACTCTGGTCTCCAGGCACTATATAAGGGAAATTTTCTGTTAGTATGGGTATAACTAGCGCTTGGTTTAACAACCTGTAGACAGGAGAAAACTTACACATATATGGGCCTACATTCAAGTAAGGTCGCAAGGACGATGATAATTAATGTTAAAAAAATAAATGCACGGAGAAGCTGAATAGCTCTGTGAACTCGAATTGAACCAGTTTCCAGTCGGGTGTAGAACTGAAGAAGGCATAACTTCATGCACCAGAGACTAGTTGGTAGAATCAGCTGCAAGTTCACGTTTCTCCAACATGGGCAACACACTTACAACATTGCATAGGTTAAACGAGCCGTCATGACAAGCTTTTGAAACAGCTCTTCATCTTCCTGTGAGAGCGGCTTCTCTAGGGAAAAGTTCCAGCACATGCAGAAGGTCCGGAGTAGCAAGGGGAAGAGAGAGGCAGCCATCCAGCTATCATCGGCATGCCACGTCTGTTGCTGTAAAGTAGGGAACCATTTCATCGTCCCGCCAATACGCACAAATGAGCGGATGAGAACTTGAAGAGTACAGATCGCGGCCGCAACCACGATCTGCGTTTCTTCTGGAGCCCATACCATTAGATTTTGAAAGGACCGGCAACATGATCATGAAGATGTTTGCGAGGAGAAGGTCACGTCTCTTAGCATCCGTATGAGAGAGAAAAAGGGGCCAGCTTTGATATTAAGAAGCAGCTCTTTGAAGGGGATAGATATCGTTTTCAGCCTTGTGTTTGCTTGTTCCATGGGAGGAAGATGAAAATTCGGGGCCAGGGAAAGAAGAAAGGCTGCCAGCTGTTGGTCCCCATGTGGGCGCTGCATTTCTTATATCCAACAGCATCATGGCAGAGAAGGGCTTCTGGGCTATGCTCTGTTCCTGAGGCCTGTCTGACCTTCATGTCATCAGCTCGTGGAGGAAGCCCGAGTCAGTCTGGTTAGCGCTCGAAAGTACGAAAGTATTTAACCACGACATGACTATACAGCGAAGCAGCTCGTACAACCTCGCATATGTAAAAAGAAAAGAGCCAAGTCAGTACCGTCCTATAACTAACGGCTGTAACTCTGGGTCTAAGTAAAGAGCACCCTGAGAATCCGTACCGCCAGAGATACCGCGGGAGTTGGCCCTCGTTGGTAGCCATAAACGTCCATGCCAGGTAGATAAACGTAGGGCCCGTCAAGAAGACAGCGGGAAGCAGGTATGGATTCATGCAGGCGGATAACTAGTTAGGATAGTTACCCTCCGCCAGCCTTGTTTGAAAGATCTCTCGAGCAGAGTCTCCTGCACGACATCAGCCGAAGGGCTCTGGCAGCGTCCGCACATTGGCTGCTTTCTTCAGATTCGGGCTACATGCTGACAGTCTGTGTGTAACCAGCCATCTTTTCGCTAGTTATTAATAGCCATAATTAGTCGAAGTTGCGGTATCTGCAGTCATCGAGGCTCGTTGAAGTGTTTTATCTGCCTGTTTCCTTCGAGCATTGCTGGCTCCTGTCCCCTTTTTGCGGTTGATATTCACGATTCCTGGCCCTCTATCTAATATTTCTGTCGCCTCGGTGACTCGTTGGTAGCTTCGTGCATGTCTTCTCGTCTTTGATAGAGGTTGCAGCCTGGAGCATAGAAGCATCGTGGTGTGAATGTGATACAGGCGGTCTCCAGGCTTGTATCAGGGGCTGCTGGCCGTTGAAGAAATTAGGAGAATCCTGACTTGTGGGAGAGCGAAATTGGTCAACCATGGACAAAATATTCTACTAAAAAAAAAAAAAATAAAAATAAAAATAAAAATAATAAAAATAAAAATAAAAATAAAAATAAAAATAATAAAAATAAAAATAAAAATAAAAATAAAAATAATAAAAATAAAAATAAAAATAAAAATAAAAATAAAAATATACAAGGGCAGCTCATCCTTCGTCGGGGCGTACGGATGTATTTGATGCGATTTTATGGTACCATTTAGTTACAGGCTTGATTGCTTGTTGAACTGATGGACTAATTAACCAACTGATATCACCAATATCTACGGCACAAGCAGAGCTTCAAATATATAAAGCCCAGATTGCAAAAACCACCTGTGCAATGCGTGACTATATCAGTGACCAGTATCGCAGCCTCAGGAGCTCCGGCGTCAACGGTCAAGGAGATCAGGGCAACTAGTTATATCCCCAGCCATGTCCATGCAAGCTTGCTCTCCTGTCGAATCCAGGACAGCCAGTCAACACAGTCTCCTCTGCCGGCAGTTCACAGTGTGTACTTTGTACTAGACCGCATTTCATCCTGGCCATTGTCCCACGCGGACATATGCAAGAGCTGGTGCCGGAAAGCGCATGGCATACAGGCCTAGGCCGCCATATACCCAATCACTGCCCTTCCAGCCCGAAATTCGCCTTAACATTCCTTCATGAGGGACAAGAAGGACGTGTTAACCGCTATTGTGATATGAGAAGGATTCGGCCTGCCTGCCTGTGAGTGCCGAGATGTTGTGAAACCCAGGGCATGGCGATCACATCACAGTCATCGATCCCTCGCCCTCTCCTTTCTTTCGGATGGTATCCTAGAGACCGGCCATCTTTCTCAGTCGTTAATGAGTCGGAGAAGCCTGGGTATCTTCCTGTGCGCTGTTTTGCTGCGTCTGTGAAGCATAGGACTTGCTGGTGGTCTTTGTACGGGTCGGGCGAACCAGAAAGGATAAACCATCCTTCACCTTGATGCATGTAACTACAACGCAGCATGTGCGGCATCTGCCGTGAAAGGGCCATCGAGTGAGCTGAACTTTTACTCTATAGTACGCAGAGGTTATTGGATGGTAGATGACTGGTTAGGTGGAAGGGTCTTCCTGCGATCTCCCCTACTATAGGGCAACGACATATCCTATATTTGGCCGCGAATATCACAAAGCCGCATACACGTGGCATATTCTCTCGTAGAGAAGCCAATACGCATCGGGATATTACATACGGTTGGTCTTCTAATCCTTTGGCTTTCGTCGGTTGTGCTGGTTGCCGTCGGGTTGATCCATTCGCATTCGTAGGTGGCTCAAAGCTAGCTAAGGGGGGCATTGTTTACGAGCGAGAGATGCTCAGGTTCTAAGCTCATGACTCGCGAGTAACCGGCAGTTGTATTTAGAACGCAGGTGCGAAGAACTTCTGTGACATTGCTGTATTCCGCTGCTATAGGGTTGAGCTGTAGTGCATATTAAGTTGGTGTCTGGAGTCTGCATTCCCTAGAATTGGTATATTGATTGCTTCGGCTATCCAGGATTATTAGATCCCATCTATGATGCCATCCTGGATACTGCTTTGACCTACCTTGTCTTTCTGTCTCGACAGTGGCACTGTCCCTTTGTTTGGTAGATTGGTGCTACCATTACTTCTCCTGCTATTCTTGCATTGAGATATTGGTTGACATCTGGCTCAAGAGCCCCAGAAGCTAATGGCCCTTGTTTAGGGAGAGGCACCTCGCAGGCTGCTTGGAAAGAAGACACGTATAGTTATATTTATATATGATATGCTAGGGTGGATTTATATACACAGTTTTTAATCCGTTGGGATAACTCATCCAGACATTAATCATTTTTCATTTCTGATATCATACCGATCATTCAATGCTTCTTGAAGCAGGGAAGCCATTCCTCCAAGGCTGAGTGGAAGAGATTTCTGGAAACCTCGCCGGGCTTGAAGTAGGTGCGGAAGTCATAGACGTGCTGAGCGTTGGGGATTAGGTAGCCAAAGATCGTCCTGGGACCGGTGGACACATTGCACTTGGGAATCTCCTGAGAGACCTTGACGCGAGGAGCAAAGGGCTCGGTGGACAGCGGAGATAGGGTGTTCCAGGGGTCGTACTGGCCACCGCTCCAGTAGACGTTGGATGGGCGCATATTCCAGCCCTTGGTGGCACGGTTGGTCTTCTCGGTCTGCGGTTTGACGGGCAGGTATCCGCTCTTGACGCCGGTAGGGAACTGACGGTAGCAGAAGTCCTGGTTGTACTTGATGGTCTGGTATTTGGAGAGGATCGGGTGCTGGGGGTAGTTGACGGTCTGATAGTAGCCCCATTCGCTGCAGTACTGCCAGATCCAGCTGATGAAGTCCGGGTCCTCGCTGGGCTTGTCGAGCTTGCACTCCAGGGGCTTCGACTTGTCGGTCTGCTTGCAGTTGGTCATGGCATTGGCGTTGACCATCTCGGCGAGCGTAGGCCAGGCAGCGAAGCGTTCGGCCATGGCCTTGTCTCCGAGCGTGGGAGCCCATCCCTCAGCCGGGGCGGTCTTATTGGTCTTGGGGTCGACCTCGAGCCAGTTGCAGAACTTGCCGACCTGGCCGTCGGCGCCGGAGGACTGCCAGCCAGCGTAGGCAACGATGAGGGCCGCAGTGAAGTCTCCGTTGCTGGCTTGCTCGGCTCCCTCGCCCAAGAAGAGCTTCTTGATGGCGGCCGCGGTGTCGTTCCGGGAGAGCTGGCGGTCGATGTATCTGTAGGCAGCGCGGATGTCCTTGGTGCAGTTGCCCCAGCCGTAGGCAACAAGGCCCCTGTAGACCTGCTCGTAGTAGACGGCCATGTCGATCTGGGCCTGCACAGGAGCTGAGGAAGCCCAGGAGGCGTATATGGTCTCTGGGTATCTGTCACGGGTGAAAGCAGACCGCATGCCGGGGTACGAGCCGCCGACCATGACCCAGGGAGTGGCATTGGGCCTCAGGTCATTGTTAGGGAACGCCTTGCGCTTGAATTCCTTTGCGAAGTAGGGCAAATCAGCGAGAGCCTGGTCGTTGTTGAGATACTGGAAGTGCTCTGGGGGGGTCTTGACGGTGACCGGGAAGGGGGTCGACTCCCCATAGTATCTTCAGCGTTGTCAGCTTTACGTCCAACACCAGGTATAAAAACAGCGTAGACAAGACGTACCGGTGCTCAAAGATGATTCCAATGCCGTGGAACTTCTTGGTCAGCTGCCTGAAGAAGTTGGTCTCGTTGAAGAGGTATCTGTCTGCATATCTCTGGCCAGCGGCCTCACCACAGTCGAACACAAAGACGGGGCCGCCTGGTTTGTAGTCCTGCTCGTTGATCCAGAACCGATGCTTGTAGGTGCCCGTCTTGTTGCTCTTGTGGTCAATTGGCATCTAAACCCGGCTGTCAGTCTGGAATCCATATATATACGTCCACAGCAAAAAAGGGGGCTCCCTACGTCAACGGTCTCTGCCTGGGGGCTGCCAAACTTGGGGCTGTCCATCACAGCCTTGAAATGCCCTGGATCCAAGGCCAGATCCGAGCTGTAGCCCATCATGACAGCGTCGTGCATGTCTTTGCCCAGCTTGGAGCCGGCGAAGCCAAAGGTCGAGCCCATGCCCGCGAGGAGGGCGAGGGCAGCGCCCTGGATGAAGCAGCTGGCGAACTTCATGCTGCTGTCGAGCAATCACAATCAACGAGTAACTAGTCAGGCCTCTGGAGAGCAAGCAGAGTCAGAGCCCTTCCCCAACGGCCCCGGGAGGCAGCAGGCCATCGGCTTTTTATATCTCTGCGTCTCGCCCTTGCCGGCCGTTGTTCTCGTGTCCCTTCCCCGTGTCCCTTGTGGGGGAAGAAGGGCTGATCCGTCCATCCTGCTCGCTGCCAGCAACGCACTTGTGGGCCATGCGGTTTGGCTGGTATCAACAGCACAGGAAACATTTAATACGAACGAGTTCAGGCTTATCCCCGTCCGACCCTCACTCGAATTGCAGCTGGACCTGGCCGGAAGAGGAGAAAGAGAACGGCAGGCCGCCGATGTCAGTCAGGGCTGCATCGTTTTACGTTTATCAATATTAACTGCCACCAAGGTTATATCATCTCCTTTGCTACCCGCCCCTGGGATGATTATTGCATGATTGCACTGCTGAAGCGAACGAGAAAATGACCCCAGCCACGGCATGGTCAAGGTCAAGGGCCAGACACGAAGAGGGGACCATTCCTCCGCCTCGTATGGGGGGAGGAAGGCGAACCTGATCTCAGATCGCAGAAGTTGGCGTATCACCCACCAGAGGAGGTCATTCATCATACACATCATGGGCGAGAGAGGTCGCACGAGCTGGCTGTCCTCCCGCTGGCTGCAAGAAATGATCTGCCCTTTGGCGCCTTGTTTGCTTTTCACAAGCACGACCTGGGTTTGGGCATCCGTCCGTCATCGAGCCAAGTCAGTTGCGAGCCATCCGCCATCCAATCTCCGGCCGTCGACAGGCAAAAACCAAGCTTTTAGCGTGACAGCTTGGATTGCAAGGGGACGAAAGTCAGAAACGAAACGGAAGAGCAATTTCTCCATCTAGGAGGCCGGAGACGGCGATCTTGCCTGTGATGGAGCAAGACTCAGCCCACTTCCCCCGTTGCATTTGGCCAGATATACTATATACAAGAAAAAAAGAATAGTTAACAGTATTGCAAAGCAGATAACTAATATGGATACACCCTGGGAAGGTAACTAACGAACCAGTCTAGGTGAATTCATGGCCGGGGCATTCATTCAAACGATGAGAACGTCCTGCGAGCTGAGATGGTGGCCGTCGGGTGATGCGGCCGACTCGAGGGACTCCCAGAGAGGCTGACTGGACTGACTCGCCTCTGCTCCAGCCTGCATGTTTCCCCCGCGGGGAATAAGATCCCCATCGCTGCCAGTCATCCGGCAGCCCCGGACACGCCATGTTTGGTCCGTGGTTGGTTTACCCCTGACCCCTGTCGATGGGCCGCTGGCTCGGGCGAGATAATAGGCGAGAGCTAGTATCGCCAGGGATGCCGAATAGCCAGACGAGAAACCCTTACTATTACCACTATTTTGCACTACGAAGCTCTAATGAAGCAAACATGGCACCATATTAAGCGATTATGGTGAGTTGTATTGTGAAATTAATAGGATATTTGACTCGTGAGCTGACAACTCCAGCACTGCCTGCTGAGATGGAGGTGAACGCAGGCATAGGGTAAATTACGGAGTTCTTCCACAGGACTCACTTGCTTATCAGCCTCTACCAAGCTAGTCAGGCTTCTAGAATCATCAGCGAGGTGGTATTTTGTTAGATTGTAAACCATGAGTCTGGTCCAGCTTTCCCCCTGAAGCTATCAATGGCATTTCCTGGTCAGTGAGAAGGTGGTTACGGAGTAAAGGAAAGTTACTTGGCTATCGAGCTCTCTGCGAAAGCGTTCGAGTGACTGTATAATGACCCTCAACAGGCGCCCACTTCTCCTGCGAGTAAACATAACAAGTATTGACACCAAAGCATCTATCAAAGTTAATTACAAACCGTTCATGGTCCAGCCGTTCACTTTGCTAGCGTGCTCTCATGCTTCGTGCTTCCTGTTTGTCTTCGGTTGGGGAGAGCAAAATACCTTTGGGGCATCGCTAAGGAGAGCGGAGGGTATCCATAATAAAGCATAGTCTTTGATAGAATGAATCTATCCTCTTTAGAGGATTGGAAGTGCTTCCCACTTTTTCCGCAGGCAATACATGCATTCGGGGAATACATATGCTGTAAGAAAAGTAGATAGCAGATGTGATATTGCCTTAACAACCCAAATATAGCTTTAGAGGCTATATCTCAAAGAACTGACCGAAAGACACAGCATGTATAAGCACATACACATGGCATCGATCGAGGACTTCCTTTTACCTCCTCCAAGTTCCTTTCAACAAATTGTGCCTCGAACGCAAGGAAATACTCCCGCTCCAGTGGTGTCAGGATCAAATCCAAATACCCGGCTATCTTCCGAATGGTACCAGTATTTATTGTGCATGTACACTATCCAGTTCCTCCCGATAGTATGGCTGTAGCGACAAAGTAGGAGGCTCATTCAACGTGTTCCTTAGCTCTGTCCGATTGCCATGAGGGATGAATTGTTGCATTACACGGGCCCAAATGCAGCTTTATTTGTGGTCGATGCATTCTAGCTCATCCCCTAAGACTCTCAAAGAGACATATTAACACGGCTATGCAGGTCGACAGGTAACCGCCGTGCCAGATTATCTCCGAATCGACCATTTCGCTGGATAACGGCCTAAGAGAGGCCCACTCTGGTTATATAAAGTATCCAGTGCGAACAGCATTCCAGGAATATTGTTAGCCATCGAGAAAACGTAACAAGTATCAATCAATAGCTATCCAGCACTGACCACTGGAAATCAGATACCAAAACGTTAGACATCGATATCAATTATCAACTGTCCTGCCTGCAGCTCACCATGATTGCATCAACCCAGAAGTCAGCCATTATGTTTGGCAATACCGCAGCAAAGGAGAAAGTTATGGTCCACTCACCCAGGTCTAACGATTCTTGGAGCCCGACCTCATGGACTACCAAGAATACCATCATCCAAGAAGTCCAGTACAAGGACCCCAAGGTGCTGCAGGATGTTTGCAATACAATCGCAAATCTACCGCCTCTGATCACTCCCGAGGAAATTGAAGCTGCCCGAAGCCAATTCGCAGAAGCAGCACCTGGAAAGTCATTCGTTTTACAGGGAGGTGACTGTGCCGAGAGCTTCCATGACGTGCGTCCTCACATCGTCAACCAGAAGATCAGACTTCTCGAAGAGCAATCTCATATCCTGTCCCAAGGGCTCAATCGACCTGTGGCTACAGTTGGGAGAATCGCTGGTCAGTATGCTAAGCCTCGTTCTTCTCTGTGGGAAACCCTACCTGATGGAACTGAGGTCCCAACATTCCGAGGCCACAATGTCAATGGACCAGAGCTCTCTGAGCGCCAGCCCGATCCTCACAGACTGTTGCTTGGATACTTCCACTCCCAGGCTACTCTGAACCTCATGCGCGGGCCAGATGCGCTCTCCACACCACCCATGGGCTTGTTTCCATCCACTCCCGCTGGCGGTGAGGAGGGGGTGACTAAGAGAGCCAATGGTGGAACAATTTATACATCACACGAGGCCCTTCATCTGCCTCTTGAAAGCTCCTCAACTGACGGCCGGTACAATACCTCTGCCTCATTTATTTGGATCGGCGAGAGAACTCGACAGCTTGACGGTGGCCATGTCGAATACGGGCGTGGACTGCGAAACCCCATAGGAATCAAGGTTGGGCCTACCATGACTGGAGAAACATTGGTAGAACTGCTGAACTGCATCTGCCCCAACGCTCAAGATCAGGATCATATTGACCGCATCACTATTATCACTCGATTTGGAGCGGACAAGGTTGAAACCGTTCTCCCACCCCTGATCCAGGCCGTCCACAAGTCTGGCCACAGACCACTTTGGATGTGTGATCCATGCCACGGTAATACTTGCACTGCCAGCTCGGGACATAAGACACGCCATATCAGTTCTATCCTCCGGGAGGCAACGACATACTACCGGGTCCACAGGGAGAACGGCTCTACCCTTGGAGGGCTCCATCTCGAACAAACCGGAGAGTTTGTTACCGAGTGCGTTGACGGCTCGGACATGGGATCAGAGGAGAAACTCGGCACGAATTATCGAAGTCTCTGTGATCCACGACTGTCATACCTGCAGGGTTTGACTGTTGTTCGTGGATTCGTTGATTTCGCACAACACATTGATGCAAAGTACCAGGCGGCTGCAGGAAATAGTATCTAACCGTCGGTTAGCCTTGAATCCTTTTTTTATATGTTTTCACTGTGAGAGGAGGAAATAATATCTTACCATAAATTTCTGTCAATAACCTTCTAGTTGCTGGTTTCATTTTTATATTCTTAAGTTATTTGAACGACACAGAGAAACATGCAATCGAAATCATTTCATATAGACCAAGTTGACAGTTCTCCGCACCATAAGCGCATAAGAGTAGTGACATTGCCAGGTAGAATGAGACTAACAGCCAACCCCTGTACCCAAAGAGACGACATGCGTGATGGCTAGTGTCGACGTAGAATCTGGATATATATCGGATGGAAATAAGTAGGAACTCATTTTAAGGCCCTCAGGCCGAAGCTGGATCCATTTTTAATCCTCCGTCGAAGTGGAAGTTCTTCAGGCGTTTATTTTATTCTCGAACGTGAGTAGAGCAAAACCATAAAATTCCCACATTCAACCTGGCTGCACTGCCGTAGAGTTGTAATCTTATTTCCGACACTGCCGTGCCACAGGGATAGGTAAAGTAAATGTAGCTGGGCCATATATTATTGCATCTTGCGTCGTGCATCAAGCCGTGTACTCCATACATCATTCTGATGACGACATAGACACGTTTCGTCCCATTGTACTGATATACGACGGGCCCATGGATATGGCTCCGTGGTATTCTCCGTGCATATACGAGAAAACTTTTGATATAGCCAAGCAAGAGCCAAATCTATCCCAGCCTCTCTCGAGGCGGCATGCGAGTAAGACAGCCCTAGCACTCCAGTTAATGGGAGCGTGAAGGACGAGTGGCGGATAAAGACAGGCATTCACCACCCGGAACAGGCCAGCACAAAAAAAGATGTGCATATGTAAAAAGGAATATAGCACTCCTCCAGTGGTTTTTATGCGAATCAACTGCATCCCAGATCCTGATGATCGTGAGCATCATCAATCCATTCTGACGTGGTGTTTAGGAATAGCAGGAAGGGAGGCTCGGACATCCAGCCGAGCTTACCAACAATTATCACTTTTGCTCTCATAGGACGAAGGACTCGCAGGTCCTCATAGATACATTGATCCTCGATCCAAGGCCTGATTTTTACGCAAGTCAGGTGCACCAAAGTGGTTGAGAATAAAGGTGACTCGAGAAATTGAAAGAGCCGAAGAGCCAAAGCTAGTAACTATCCTAGACAAAATAGCTGTACTCTATGGACAAGAGTTGAACTATCGTGTCTTTGACACCCAGGCTGACCCGGTTGGTTTGCTCTCCGTCTGGAACACAGGCTGTCTCCGAGAGATATGGACTCTGTTGCGGCTGCTGTTGTAGCCGATGGAGATTTCAGATGCCATCAATGCAACAAGTCCTACCGCCGGCGTATACAAGCCTTCTCCTTTCTCAATTTCTCCCAACTGCCGGGTCCAAAGTGCTAACTCCAACATCTAGGCGATCTTCGAGACCGGCACCGACGCCGTTGTCTCAAATCTGCTAATCATGAGAGAGTCGCAAAGCGAAAGTCTTGCGAAAACCTGCGCACAGAAAAAGTTGCGATGTTGCTTGACTCGCCCAGCATGTAGTCGCTGTGTTCAATCACAGATAGCATGTCACTACCCACCCACTGCACGGGTGCACCAAGTATGTTACTCTGCTCGCTTTTTAAGTTTGTGTAGAGTGCAAGAGAAGACCTTTTGGGTTGAATCAGTCGTTAATCGAGGTTCATTCTGGTCTCGCTGTGGGCTAGGACGATACCGCAGTAATAACAAAGGACTCAACATCGATCAGCGAAGATCACGATATAATTATCCCTGCTCCAAGTATGCCTTACGGTGGTGGCAGTATTGCCACCTCTTCTGGTTCTCAGGACATTAGTGGCACTGTAGCCACCTTTCCGTGGAGTCCGCAGGCCGGTAATTCGAATCTCATGCTTCAGAATATCAATGATGGGGCATTTTTTGCCCTCGAAATGTCAACTTCATTGGGATGGAACGAAGACTTTCCCCCAGAAGACTATCCTCAGAATATCCCAGTGAGCTGCTCTCGTGCTTTTCTCAAACACCCGAGCAACATAATATACCGAAATTGTCTGGTCCCGGCAAGCCGCTGTCACTTTCACAAGTTCCGCCACTGCCTTCTTCATCTGGTGCTTCATCGTCAATAGGGCTAGGGCTGTCTCCCAATGGCGACTTTAGCTGCGACGGGGATTTTTTTGCAAACAACTTTTTCCCAGGGCCCAGTACGGTCACCAGTAATACCGAAGAACTCTTCGAGGAGCTGTCTCAGAGGGTTTGCGATTATCCCAAAAAGATCCTTCAACGTGATTTTGGTCGCCGTTTATCCATCATAGCATGTATCGCTGTGCACAGGGAGGTATGGCTGAGCCGCTGGGTATAGCACTGGCTTGTGCCTCTGCGTACTAAAGCCGTGTCGAGTCGAGTTCGAGCTTCATCGACACCATGATAAATACTCAGCGGGAGAAGTTGATCCGAGAGTTCCACCTGTATGTGGATCAGCCGGAAACGTGCCTTGCTGCGCTCCATGCCGTTAGCGTTTATCAAATCCTCAGCTCCTTAGATGATCGGAGCACAACAACAGGCCCCGTTGAAGTTGATAGGCCGCAAACGGGATCAGGACTGGCGGCCGAGTTTCATATTTCATTTTTATTAAAGGAACATCCCATATTCTTCCATCCTTCACATTTCGAAGAAATCTTTTTGTGGCAGCTAGGGTCGCTCACAAAGTTTTGATAGATGACTCGTCGACTGTGTACATATAAAGAAGCCGTCACCTCGGACACAGAGACCGACTGGACTCGCTGGAAATTCGCTGAGTCACTGCGACGATGTATATTTTTTGTCAACTTAATCAATGTTCTAGCAGCAAAATATCGCAGATTTCACTTCGATTATTTTGAGCCTTTAGACGACGCCCTCATCTTCCAGATGCCTCTTCCACCACAGAGAAAACATGGAGGGCGAGCAATGAGACCCAGTGGCAGATATGCCGGGAAGATACCCAGCTAGTACGTCCAGCCCCCACGCTGCAGAAGCTTGTGGAGATAGATGATGCAGGCCAGCTGGATCTTGCCACCCTTACACCACTGACCAGAATTATCCTGGCTTGTGCAAGGGTGAATCTAGAAGCCGACTGGAGAGACAGATAGCTTTACCCGGGGTATTGGTATTCGTATATTTTTCGTTTGCTTATATACCATTTGGCCACTCATTATTTGAACTGGCGGTAAGCTTGCATTTTTTTTCTTTTGATGAGAAACAAATGAAATCAAAGCACCCTAAAATGCCTGCCATATTAGCATTGACAGCATTTAGAGATAGCGTTGATAAAAAGCTCCTATTTGTAAACAGTTGGTTGCATTAAAACATTAGACACACCAAACAAAAGGCCAATCTCTCAAACTAGATATAATCAGTGACACAACATCCCACCTAGGGCTATGCAATTGACGTAGTTCTGATCTCAGGGCCGCAGAGCCGAGCTGGTGGAGGATGGGGTGACGTTTGGTGATCGACAACTTCTCTTCTCTGTATCTCTGTCTCTGTCTCTTTCTCTTCTCTGTATATAATAAAATAATATCTCTGTATATATATATATAATATAATATATAATATAATATAATATATAATATAATATAATATATAATATAATATAATATATAATATAATATAATATAATATATAATATAATATAATATAATATATAATATAATATAATATAATATATAATATAATATAATATAATATATAATATAATATAATATAATATATAATATAATATAATATAATATATAATATAATATAATATATAATATAATATAATATATAATATAATATGTCCGTAAAATTTGACGTTCGCGTGATTTGTAAAATCATTATTCCGTTCCCACAACATTCATTATGTAAAATTAAACCAATCATAAATTTCATAGGAAAAAGCTGACTGGCCCGTTCAGATAACTAATTAATACCACCCCGTTGCGAAGCATAAGGGGTATGTGGTGTTGATTGGTTGAATGGGCGGGAATAAATTGAAATATATATTCTTAGCTAATAGAAATATCTAATTGATAGCTAATTCGTAATCTAATAGGAAGTAGCGAATATTTCCTTTTCTCTACAGCGAGCGGAGTGAGCGCAACCTGGCTTGTAAGGTAAGAATAAAAAGAAAGAAAAAAAAAAAAGCGACACGACTTAAAAAGGGGCTTCGGGCCGGGCCTGGTTTATCCGGCAATCGATGGACTTCCAATACCTGTATGTATGTATTCCCCGGATGAATGGGAACTGAACAGGCTCTGTCGTAGCCAGATGCATTCAAACTCTGGTTATCTATTTCTTTTCTTCTTTTCTTCTCTTTCTTTGCATATTTTGATCGTTTAAGTTGATTGATGGAATTGAAGTGCCTCCCTATACCCCCTAACTATACCCCTTTTTCCCTTAAAGGCACCCTCTTTTGCTGGCTAGCCTTTTTATTTGTCTGAGGATCTCCAAGCCTGGATTGGTGAGAGTCTGACGGGAGAGTAATAAGGTTGAGCTGCCCTCGGGTACTGTATTTGCTATTGTGACCTCTTGCGGTTCGATGTCCTCCGTAGTAGTCGATTGTATCACTGGCGCTCATCAAGCATGGGCCTAGGGCCTCCGTTATTATCTTAGCTGAGGAGGGCTAGGCCGGCCATCTGGTGTACCATTTAGTCTTACACCCCTACGGATGGTGATAGATGGGGATGAATTGTGCGCGGGGGCAGTAGAAGGAGAAAGGCCTTGATTATGACCGCCGCAGCAGCAATGATAGGGGAGAGGGCAACTAAGGCCTCCTGTTTGTAGATGTATGAAACAGTGGACGGAAGGAAACGAGAGAACAAGGTATAACGACTCGAGACTCCATTTAGTGCTTTGACGGCTAGAATGCTACTGCAATACTGCAACGTCGATTCGGCCTGCGGCATTGACCTAACTACGCTGCCAATTTGTGAGATATTTTTCTCGTTATTGGCGTTAAAGGAACCAATTTTCCACGGCTTGTTATTGCTATAGAATCCTAATACAATGCTATTGTGGGTATGTTGGAACTTTCGGGACCATATCAGGTCTGAGGCACACCACCAGAGTCAGATTATTTTTTTCTTAATATCAGTAAAAATTCTGTACCTCAGCCAGTTCGATGCTAATACCCCTTCAACATTCAGCCGAAATAGTTACTCCTACACCCATGCGGATTCATTGTATCAATTAGCTAACATAATCACTTGCCTCACGTTCCTCCTTACAACGAAACTGATTGCCCTCCGGAAGCGTTTTAAGGCAAGGGCTGAGAATGATTTGAACAAAACTAATACTAAGGTGTTGTTGAGTGATACCGAAGCTTCCCGCTTTTCTTACTCATGGTATTTTCGCTCTACGTTTAATAGATGGAAAATGACCTTCATTGCCACAATGGAAGCCACAAAGAAAACAATTCCCGATAACACAGACCCTGATAATGATGTCTGGCTGTCACCTCTGTCCCTTGGGTTCTTCATTAATGCTAAGTTGATGGGGTTGAACATCATATTGAGTATCCCAGTGGTTCTTGCAGATGGCACCCTTGATGAATCTAATATTGGAGTCATTGAACGTCATCGTATCACCTTCCTCTTCATCACTCCCCCACTAGCCGCTACGATGTGATTTTAGCGGCGTCGATGTGAGGAGTGTGAAGTGGATGCTGACTGCGGGAGCACCAATCCATGAAAACCTACGCCGTACAATCTCAGATAACTTTGGAGGAGTTCACTTGACGCTAGAATGGGCAACATCGGAGACCATGCTTCCAGCTATCCAGTTGGATGAGTCGACCAAAAAGCCTGGGTCAAGTGAAACCTTGGTAAATGGAATCCAGGCCAAGGTTATCAATACGGAAACTGGGGAAGAATGTGGTATAGGGGAAGAGGGAGAAATCCTCGTCCGTAACAAGCTTGCAAGGTACAGCGGTTACAAGGACAACGAGGCCGCAAACCAGGACTTTGATTATGAGGGCTGGTTCCACATCAAAGATTACGGCCAACTCGACGAGAATTGCAACTTCTACATCATAGACCGTATTAAGGAACTCCTGAAGGTTGGTGAAGGCCATGAATCTCACGTTTCCGCCAGTGAACTTGAGTCTGTGATATTTGAACATCCAGCTGTTGCCAATGTAGTGGTCGTTGGTACTCGAAACTACGACACACAAATGGACGAGCCATCTGCCTTCGTTATTTTAAACCCCGAATATTCCAATAACAGCAAAATAGCAAAGATGAGAGTTGAGCAGTTTGCAGCCGAGAAATTGACCGGTCTGAGACGACTCACAGGAGGAATTCACTGGCTTTCGAGCTACCCAACGACTGGCTTCAAGGTTGATCGTAAGAAGCTAAAATCCATGGTTCCAGAGAAACAAAAGCCTATGGCAACCGGCCTTTTTTTTTCCCCTATTTTGGCAAACTAGGCGGGCCTGGGGATTTTGACTGCCGCCATGTATTCCCAGTTCCATGTCCTGTATTCGGGTCTAGGATGCAATAAGTATACGGTTTTCGCCTGATTCCTTTATCATTTTGATCTATTCTTCACAGGTACAGTCGTGTATCGGGGTTCAATACCCCAGAAGTAGTTAATAGTAGAGCTCATTGACCTCAATTGATTCGGTTCTCGTATCTGTCTAGCATGTTTCCTGGAAGTCGAAATAGAGATGCTTATATAATACGCTCGGATTGGAAGCCTCCAAACTCTAAATTCTTATCAAAAAGCTAAATCTGCCTTGTTTTTGAATGGAGGTACAAATACATTCACCCATATTGATAGGTATCTCGATAGAATAGAGAACAGGAGGGACGGTATTAACCAAGATTAAATGCTGAAGGTACCCCCATGGCGTTGTGGTGAAGGAGAAAAGATATGATCCGCAGAATTGGCGCGCTCCCAATACCTAGCTATGTGCGCCAGGTCACCGCTTTCTGTCGAACATTTCTCTCGTATAGATCGCTGAAGAAAGTTCCCCACCATCTTTTAGTATTGAAAAAGTATTATTCTGTATAAAGTGTGGATGCTTCATTTGGCTCATGAAACTCTGTGCAACGCAAAGGGTTTGATGTACAATGCCCAATCAATCCAAGGCAGCGAGTACGAAAAACAGTATGTAGGGTATCCTTATCACTTCAGATGCTTATTCAAGTTTGTCCAGGTGCTCCAACCTTGTGAGCACGACTTGCTTGCTGGTCTCTTGAATTTCACCGGCAAGAAACACCTCATCGAGAATTGCGTAAACCTGTTGGATACACGAGGATGTCAGCTAACTTTTCATACCATAATTTCGTTCTTAACCTCACATAACCTACCTTGTAAAAGTTAAAAACCAAATCCAACTCACAGACGTTGCCAAAAAACTGGTCCAGGACTTCCACAAAAAAGTGTATGGCTTCCAGGTATGCTAGTTCGTTGTCGTTTGCATCGACGCAGACACAAAAAAACAAGCCCGCATATCGCCTGTATACGATCTTGGTGCTCCGCTTAAACTCGACGAAGTTTGATTGATATTTCTGGTCCCGTGGGGCAACAAGGCGATGAACCTGGGGAGTGGCCGGCCCAATGTTAGAGTCATTCATGAGCAGTACAAGGGCGTGTACGATCGACTGGCGACAACAACTAGAGATGGGCCGAAGAAACATGGGGATATGTAGGAGTTCGCACCTCGCCCTTTAATCTCACTTTCTCGTCATCCTATGAGAAGTTAGTCTCTGTGCCAGATAAGCATTCCTGGAAGGGCACGCTCACGTTATACGGCGCATACCACTTTGCGAGGCGAGTTTTGCCCCTTGAGTAACCTGTTAGGATGATTTCCCTTAGCAGATAGGGGACAGATGGCCGACAATACTTACTGCCGGTTCTGGACGATGATGAATGAGAGAACCATGCCTTCACTGACTAGCAGATATAGTATTTAGACACTATCACATCCCGAATGGACTGATCGCCCGTCGAGGTCCTGGCGATGTGTTGCTTTGCTCTGCGTCCTGGGAAGCTCCGAACTTCCTTTGCTTGATGAAGTCAGCGCCAAGACACTTGTCTCCTGATTATATAATCACCAAAAATATAAACAGCGCTAAAAACCCGAAAGGATCTTGCTTCATTCACGCTTGTGACTATGTTTTATTCGCTTGGAAACCGGTAGGTTGTCAGATGCTACTTATATGGAAATATAACGATTGCGAGGAGGTCACACTCTCTTTGGATAGCATACGCTGAAAAAAAGTCTAGAAGCATCAACCCGCTTCACAGAAAGCTCATTAAATTTGTCCTCAAACTACTTTTTAGGCCTCGCTGGAAGGTCAAACCTCGGCTTTGGTGGGACAGCCGGAGGTTTGAGAGATCTAGTGGGCTAACAAGATTATCAGCGACTGTGTGGGTGAAATAAATATGGACATTATCAGTACACATACAGGTGGGCCGCTTCTGTGACCAGCTTCTTCTGGCTCATCGTCCCCCTCAGTAGTATCTGAATCTGACCCCGTCTTGTCCGAAGAAAATCTCTCGGGGTTCCCGTTATATACTATCCACCATCTAATCTTCTCGCCAGGAGCTAGGGCCTCTCTCAGGTTCGCAAATGTGGCCAATTCAGCTGCGGATAAGCCTGGGCCTTTACTTATGAAATCTTCCAGATCAAGGCTTAAGAAGGAATTGAACTGTGGTTCCGAGCCATCTCCGATCGGGACCACCTTCGAGCAAACAAAAGCGTATGGTTGACTTAGAGCAGATGTCCTGGTGTCTTCCGGGTCATATTGCTCTATTAACGCCAAATTTGGGAGATGCGATGGTATGTTGGCGTCAATTCGTCCAAAAGATTGTATTACCTCTTTAGCGGTTCGTGGCTCTTGGATATAGTCGGAGGCCGCGTCTAGAAGGTCATTTATCACGATATGTGGACGAATCCCTGGTGCAGTGAGTGTGCCAACTCTTGACCACCGGAACCCGTAAACGATATATACTACCATGCCTGAAAGAGATTATCGGGGAAGCTCTAGAGCTCTCTGAGAATAGGCATATTGAAGAAGGTAAAACCAAATATTGGAAATGTTCGATTGCAATAGATCAAGGACTTAAATATTTCCCTTGCATCCACCAGCTTTCAGCTCCTATCCATGTAGGAGGAGAGAACGGGCAACGAAACCCGAGAGGCAGATATTCGTTGCAATTTGCAACACATGTAATTGGAGAATCTGGAGTGCGGCTTGTTTACCCCCTTGCGATTGTCACGTGGGCGGCTGTTTTTACGGTTGAGAAGGCTTCAGGGGAAGTTGATAGCTCATTATTTGCCTTTTTCTTCCTGGAGCCTGACGTCTACAGTTTTGGGGGTGTTTGTTGGGGGATCGACCTGAGATTATGATTTAGCTTCATAATGTTTCTTCCAGATGTTGTCGAATGTGGCCGTGTCAACAGCAAATCGGCGGATATAGTCCCGCTCTAGTTCGTGGGTTTTTGTGCCTAAAAGAACCAACGAATGCAAGGGCTTTCCTAAATCAACCTTCGTCAATTCTTCAAGAGTTCCAACAACAAGTTGTTGGTCTACGGCACCAACTCGAGCGGCACCTATCGCTAAGCTCTCAGGACCACAGATGCCTTCCTTTCTCTCAGCCTCGGTCTCAAGCATTTGCTCGGCACATTGTGCAACCGTCATGTATCTTGGAGGTTCATATATTTTTCTTCCTCTCGCCATATTCTCTAGCGATTGCTCCTTCACTTTGATATCCAAGAGCACAAGAGTGTGCAAGCCATGTTCAGCATTCTGTTTGATCCGATCGTAGTAAGAAGATGGCTTCCAGGTTTCGGTAAAAAATACCATGCTAACGGTCTGACCGAAGCTATAAAGCTGAAGGCCCGTGCAGCCGATAGCGGACATTATCGAGGCATTCGGAATATTTCTCATTTCAATCCCTAGCTCGCGAGCGCGTAGGACAAGGTCGGTATGGGTGGTAGCCCTATAAATAGAAATCATTATGTCGTTAGTTGAAAATCCAGAACCAACACGTAAGGTAAGAGTGGTGTGGTGTGATGTGTTCACGTACCCAAAGGGATCACCAACAACGAGGAAGGCAACGTCTACTTTGTCTGCATTTTGTAGGATTTCATCACTGCTTGATTCGACCATTTCACGGTCGGCTACTATCACCGGTCTTCCATAGAATTCTTCCTTCAAGCCCAACAAGTTAGCTAACTAGACATTTTCAATTAACAGGGTGGGGGTCCAGTTTGGATGTGCATACTAGCTTAGCTGTGTCAACGAGTAGAATGCTTGTGTACGCTTCGAGGTACACTCTCTCGGCTTTCTTAACAATTTCCAAGCCCTTGACCGTGATGTCAGTCTCATCAGCGAGACCCAACCCCACAAGGTAAAGCATCTTTACGTATGGTTAGTGTATTGCAGCAGTGTGATATTCTTTTCTTTCGGTCAAATCTTCCTTTACATGTCCTCGTTGTTCTTATTGAGATTTAGCGGCGGGATGTTTCAAGTCTTGGCATTATTTATCCGTGCCAAGCATTTGCCTACCGTCCCTTATTTTATCGACTGACATCAACTTTTGAGGCTGGCGGATACCATAGAGCCAGTTCAACATTCCCAGACTATCTATTGTCTGATGTATCTATGTGTCAGTCTCGATCTTGATACAACCCACGGGGCAAGGGCACAGCGGCTGCGAAAACCAGTGTCACGTGATGATTTTAAAACTACCCTGAGTTGTCATTTCTGAGATAGAAATTCTCTTGAAAAGAGCGACACAATAACGATTCTCAGTAGGAAAAAAGGTCATCAAGCCATTTCCACCTCCATCATCATCCGTGTTTCTCATGGCGGGGAGTGTTCATAGTCTTGGAGCTTTGGATGTAGAAAAACGGATTGCTGACTAAGCTGCGGCTACTTTTGAACTTCGCCTTTTTCCGACCTTCAACTTCGTCTGCCCTCTTGATATTATTTATTATGTGTACGCGTTTTCCACCATTCTTACGGATATTTTAATTTTTAATAATCAAAATCTGCTATAATTGATACCAAACACCCAAACATTCTTCTAGAGGGATATCCAGCCAGGATGGAGCGAACACCGAAATATCGGCAGGAAATCCAGCAGGTAGGTCTTCCGACTTTCGTGTCTATCGGGGCTACAAGGGGGTTTTACTCACGCGAGTTATGACGTCCGATATATCAATAAAAAAATTATTATATCCATGGGATGTTTCAAGAAGCTCCGCGAGCCGCATCCTTGCGTAAGAGCACTGCTTGGCTGATATATGCTGTTATATTCACGGTGGTGCCTCGGGATTACATTTCACGCAGGGCTGGGCATTTCAAACCGGATGAACTCCTACTAACAATATGTATAGATGATGTTCGTCTCGGGAGAATCTGCAGAAGCATCTGTGGAAACTACTACACTTATTGAGGAAATAGTACGGCAGCAAGTTATTGAAATGGTATGCTAGCTTTACATCCAGCATGCGACGCAGTTATACTTTATTGACAAACTTCTAGCTCTCACGGAGCACCACGCTAGCTGCCAGACGAGGTGTTAGATCAATATCTACAGACGATCTATTTTTCTTGATACGGCATGACAAAGCCAAGGTTTCTCGACTGAAGACCTTCCTTTCCTGGAAGGATGTTCGAAAGAACGTTAAAGACTCAGATGATAAAGGCGGTGCTGATACCGCCGACTTTGGAGCTGGGGACGATGCCCTCGTAGGAGCTGGTGTTGCCGGTCCTCAGGAAATCGCAGCTAAGCCGAAGAATAAAAGGGCCAAAATCGGCCTTCCTTGGGACCTGAACAGCTTATATTCTATCCAGGTGCCTGAAAGAGAAGACGAGGAAGACGAGGAAGAAGAGGAGCAGAATTACGCCACACTCCAACGTCTCGCCACCGCGGATGAACGTACGAAGAATATGACCCGTGAAGAATATGTCTTCTGGTCAGACTGCCGACAAGCATCATTTACTTTCAGGAAGGCCAAAAGATTCAGGGAATGGGCTGGGTTTGGTATTGTGACAGATTTTAAGCCGAATGACGATATCGTCGATATCCTTGGCTTCCTCACCTTTGAGATTGTCCAGACGTTAACTGAGGAAGCTTTGAAAGTCAAAGAGCAGGAAGACCGTGGCAAAAAGGGACTTGGAGCCTCAGAGGATGGATCCGGGGAGAAGAAGAAGAGGAAAAGGGAGACTGGACTCTTTGATCCCCCAGAAGAAGGACGAACCCCTATCGAGGCAAGACATGTCCATGAAGCGTATCGAAAACTTCAAGCTACGCCAAGCAAGGCAGTTGCGATGTTCCTTCATGGGGGACGTGCTCCTCTAAGGACTCCTTTACGTCTTGTGAGTTATCTTCAAAACAGATACGATGAGTGGGAGAATTGCTAACGAGCCAATAGATATAGGAGATTTGGAGATGTATTCAATGTTATCAACCGGTGTTGGGCTTGGTCAATCATGTTAGCGGTAATGTTCTATTAGGTGTCATTTGATCCTTTTTCTTTTAGCAGGTCTGTTAGGGGTGGTTATCCAGGTCAGGCGCATATGTACTCACAAGGCGCTGGCGAAGCATTCGTTCATGTTCAAATAATGCTATTCAAACGGTAATATATATTGTTTAAGTTAAATATTCACTTGCTAATATCTTAAGATTGAACTTCTTTGTTTCCAAGCATGTCCGCCAAAACAATTCTCAGGTCTGATAAGAATCTCGTAACCTCTGCTTCTGTTCCTACTGTAATCCTCAGACAGCCTTCACAGCCGTGCTCTTTACCCCTAAACCGAACAACTACTCCCTTATTTTCAGCCAGCGTTTGATATACAGATTGGGCAATCTTGTTGCAAGGCTTCCCACCATCCCTCGATGGTTTGTCTAGCATCTCTACCAAGAGGAAGTTGGAGTGAGTGCCGCCCAGAAATCGACCAACTCCAGGAATCTTAGGAAGCTCCTCCAGTATCCTCGTGCGCTGAGCAAGTAGCTTCTCTCTGTTCTTGCGCATCAGAGCAAGGTTCTCAGGGGAAAGGCCGGCAATTGCGAGAGACTTGGTAGGTGTGGATATGCTGTACGGAGCCTTCATGCTATTCAGCAAGAGTGCAATGTCTGGGCTGGTGAATGTGGCTCCTAGTCGAATACCCGCCAGGCCAAAGGCTTTACTCAGAGTCTGCATAACAGCGAGGTTCGGCCACTCGGTGACCCATTCCGCCAGGCTGCTCCCTTCAGGTGCAAAATCGATATAAGCTTCATCAACAATGACCACTCCATTCCACGTTTCATGCTCCAGCACCTTTTGTATGTCCTCCTTTTTGATGAGGTTCCCAGTCGGATTCCCTGGTGAACAGATATATACGATCTTAATAGTTGGGTCAGCGGAGAGAGCCTCGTTTATGGCGTCTGGACGAAGCTGGAATCCGTGTTCAACATCCAGCGGCACTTTGACAACCTCAACGTCATTGACCTGAGCAGAGACAGCATACATGCCATATGTGGGAGGACATGTCAAGATCTTGTCCCTTCCAGGCACGCAGAAGCATCGGATTAAGGCATCGATTGACTCATCTGAGCCCACGCCAACAAAGACATTCTCTGGCTTCAACTCCTTTTGCGTATGGACCCGAGTATTTCGCAGGTTGCAGAATAGCTGCTTCAGCTCTACTTGATGTCTATATCCATATCGTATTCACCCGTTAGAAGGAACAGCTGCCTCTTCTGTAACGTAATGAGGAGGAGACAGAACTGCTTACGGGTCAGGGTATCTGTGCAAACCCAGGAAATCAATATCACCGGGGCTTGAGCCATCTTGAGCACCTGCAGACTTCTCGATGGTCTCTAGAGTGAGGCTGGGGCCGTATGCATTCTCATTAGCATCGAGAAGCACGTTTGTGCCGTCGTCCTTGTAGTCGCTGACTCGGTTAGCAGTGATACCCAACTAACTACATACATTGGACTCAGCGAGGGTGATAGACCTACTCTCTTGCACATCGATATGGCTGCAGCTGAAGGATATTAGGTCTCGCGCACTTGGACAGGTCAAAGGGAGATGCTCTAGCCATGTCGACGTCGCTGTCTTCTGCTGTTGGCTGCAGGAAAAGGTGGTGGTGAGAAGTTTGGCGGGCTGGCTGGCTTCTTCTCAAGTCGCAGCGTTTTTAAGCTTTGCTGGCCAATATAACTAATTAAGAAATATTCATATATTACACTTCTCTTAACCGGGATCCTTCTTCAACGCAAAAGAATCTCTTCAACCCATACTGTACTCTAGAGAAAAGCCTGTGGTATCCTAGGTACGTATGAGTTGGTTAATCGACCTGAGTCATAGCTAAACTAGTTCACTAGATGGAGCTGTGGATTCTCGCACCCGCAAGCCGAGCGGGTAACTGGAGATACGCATGTAGTTAACTACAGCCTCTCGCATTCTAAGTATATCACGACATGTATCTACCATTACTACGCAGTCTCAGCGCATCAGACAGCGGTAACTCAGTAGTGAGACACTTGCTGGAGAATCTAAGATCTGCTAAGTGACCCATAACTTAGACACTACTGCTAGCTGACTAGTTAGCTATTGCTTTTTCCCTATTTTAAGGAACGATGGGGAGGTCAAGAAATCGCCTATAGTAAGGCCAAGTCCCAGACGCCATTAAGCCTCTCTCGCCTCTCGTTTAACAGCAGCTGCCTATAGGCAGTTCCAGTCAGAGGCTTGAAGACGAGGAACCTGAAGAAGTATTGCTACCCTGGAGAAGCTCCAAATGTAAGACATCAGACCTGGCGCAAGATGTAGGTGGTTCGTATCAGTAGCCCAGAGATGAACAGAAGAGGATATATAAGAGGACGTTCCCGGCATGTTTTTTGCTGCTTCTCATCTCTGTGCCATTCTTGCAGTCACTCATAGATACCCTTGTATTTGCTGTGAATAATACCATCATTCATCATGAAGCTCCTTGCTGTCATCTCTGCCTCCCTGGCCCTTGCCGGCTTCACCACTGCCACTCCGCCGCCTCAGACCTTCAGCATCAAGGCCAAAGGAAATCCCAAAGTCCCCTCAGTTCGATTTGATGCGTCCAGGAGTAATATTTTCCTTAATTACGGGGACTCGGGCGCTGTCTGTGAAGTCAAGCCTGGCCGCCCAAGACCCAAGGACGCCATCTTCTACCTTAAGGATTCCATCTTGTATCTCCATACTGGAGCTTCCAAGCCGGTACAAAAGGTCTTCCTGGACCGCTCTGGCTTCGGATATGTTTCATTTTTTTTTTTTTTTTTTTTTTTTTTTTTTCTATTACTATTCCTGCCGAAGCGGTTGCTAAACTTGCCAACATAGGCCAGGGCAAGATCGGATATTTGACTGGCGATGGCCAGCTTCCTTCGCGGTGGGAAGTCCAGGGTTGGACTATTGACGGAGCGGGAAACCTGAAATTCAAGGGCAAAGGACTGATCGCCTGTCCTAGCTCAGACCCCAAAATCAAGTCCTGGACAGTCTGGGCAGATCTTGGTATCGCTACTCCAGGTGGAAACAAGGGCTGTCTCCCTTTCACTGCTCACACTATGAAGACAAAGCCAGTTGCTTGCAAGTATACCTGATGAGGCGAGAAGGTAAATGACTCTTTATGATGTGGAATGATGTTAGACGATGCCCTATCTGTCAGTCCAAAATCTAAGTGCATCCCATATTTAGTCAATAATATTACTATAAGTAGCAAAGTGGAAAACATCAATGGACAAATGGTTTTATCTTGGTATAAATAATGATATCCTCCCGGATAGATACCCTTGGGGGTGCCTTTGATGTCAATGTACACTCAAAACGCCAGTGGTGATCTCACACACGCACCTCTAAAACAGGGGGTCAAAAAGAAATAGAAGTCTCCAAAAAAGGTAGATATAGGGCAACATTGATATACTAAACGCCAAACCACCAAATGCTTGATTCTCAGGAAGGACAAGAGGGTAAACTCTTGTACCACCGCCTCAGAGAATTTATATAAATATACATGCCCTCAGTCGCTCTTGGTCTTGTTCTCAGAACTGGTTTCGGGTGATTCGGAGCTGGATCGCCTCGATGCGTTGTACTTCTGGCGCTTCTCCTGAAGGTAGCGCATCGACCTGGAGACACCGGCTGTAAGGACACCTTTCATCGACTGGCTGGTACTGGGCCAGGATATGGTGTTTTTTATGGATAGTGTCACCTCGTCCTTCAGGTTACCCTCAGCAGCGATCCTCCTGTCAAAGTCACTCCCTTCTCGGCGATGGAAACGCTCTGGGTCCTCATCCGCAGTCTTCTCCATCATAAGCTCAAATTCTCCTCGTGGGATTTTAAACCGGCTTTGGTACTGGAAATAGAGCTTTTCACGGAATGATTTAGGGAGTCGTCGAACCATATTACCACGTTTGATAGGGTCCATATCTTGCTCTAGGGAGACATTTATGTCTGGATTGTCAAGCCAGTCTGGATTATTGCACTGGGAATCATTAAAGGATACGTTCGGTAATGTTTCAATTAAAGGTGCGTACAATCGACGGAAGTTTGTGATCTGGGCAGAGACAATGTTATGGATCTTCCTAGTGTTCTCTGAGCCAAAGGACATACGTGGGTCGCCTTGGTAGCTTATACCAGCAATCTTTCGGTATAGCTCTTGTTCGGTAAACTTCGGAGGCAATAGGAGAAGCGCAACGCGGACAGCTGACAGTAGGTTAACCTGGTTGGCCAGCCGGACACTTGGGTGGTCCCGCAGGATCTTGACTGGCTTATGGAGTCGTCCGGCAAGGTATAGTGAGTCCCATTGGCTTAGGTCTTTGCAAAGGGTATCGATATTGACAACGCCGTATTTAATCAAAGTTCCATTCACGGTTATGTATGGGTTGAAGTAGACTCCGGCTCCCATTCTCTCCTGTACCTGCGAGACAACGTATGACCCCATTGAGCCAAGGGCAGAGTAGTGATTGCGGTGCTGATTCAAGTTTAGAGAATGCCAGTGCTGGCTGTGTGAAACTCCAAAAATAAAATCGATCATCTTCCCACCGCCTTGCTGCACTGCTTGGATTGCCTGCGGAGGCGACGGATGACAACTACCTCCAGACGTCCCACTCTGCGGGAAAACGCCAGACCCGTAGGCAAAGGCATATCTAATCGGCGCTTTGAATTGCCAAAGGATCTGTCTGAGAGCTTCCTTAAACTCTTCATTTATTATCATATGCTGGTTGACTCCAAAATTTTTTGAGGGGAGCTCGGAGAAGTTCTTGATCAAGAAATTAGGATTATCCTCCCAATCAAACTCGGTTCGTGGTGTAGATGACCCGCTAGGTTTCCCTAAATCAGGGGATGAAGATGTAGACGATGGAGATGAACTTGAGGGCAAGGGAGTATGTCTATGGTCGTTGATATCGAACCCTGGTGGAGGGCCTGCATTGGAGCCTAGCTGCGTGGATGTCTGCTCGGTAGACAGAAGTCGAACGTAGGAGGAATTGGAAGCGAGAGCGAGCGAAGTCAAGGGAACAGCTTGAGGCCGGCCACAAGTGAAGGCCAGCTTGGGCCTCAAGATCTGCTCGGTACCAAAGGTCAGCCGTCTGTTGCGGACCAGACAGACTTGGATTTGCGAGGGAGAGAGGGAGCAGGAGAGTATACACACATGGAGCTGGCGCATGACTGGTGGAAAACAGGCAATATCTAAGGAGCACAGCTACAGCTGCGACAGTGTATATAGCTAGCTCGCATGGGCACACTGCGTCGAGCCGTGGGTTGCGTATGTTTGAGGTTCAATGTTGTTGCAACTTGCTTGCGGCTTTCACTTTCACAAGGATTAGGTACCGCCCCGGCAAAAGTCCAGTTGCTGATATAATCCATCACGAAGGCGGTGGGGACGAAGGCTTGGCGTATCAAAAAAAAACAAGCTTATTAGTAATTACTGACATAAGCATATTCAAGATCACATGACTTGGCCATGGCCAGGCCAAGTTAGGAAATGGGTAAACATACAAGCAAAAGCCGGACGTCGCTTTCAACTCCACCATAAACATCCATCCAAAACACACAGAACCATCGATGAACTACGACTCAGTCGAGGTTGGAATTGACTAAATGAACACCTGTGCCCCGGAATACTTCAGCCATGCCTGTCTCGAATGACTTCCAGACTGTTGCCGGTCGCCGGGCAACTTTCGATGTCGCGCATAAGTCCAGTTCCGGCGAAGAGTTGACTTGGTCATACGCTTCTCCCTCGCCAGATGAGGTATGCTAGCGCTTGCAACAAGTTCAAATTGCCTTAACCTGACTTTGGAACTAGCTCGCTCATGCCGGATTTCACTACACTCCAACGGCGCTTAGCCCTGATAACACAACCTGTTTTCTTTGCGAACGATCTCTTGATGGCTGGGAAGAAGGAGATGACCCCTTTACAGAACATCTACACTTCTCACCCGAATGCGGATGGGCTGTTATAATGGCTATCACCCGGAAGACCTCTGATCCTGCGCAGATTGAGGACCCTACCAGCTCAAAAATTGCTGATGCTCGAAGGGCTACATTTTTCTCTTGGCCACACGATGGAAAACGAGGATGGCTTTGCAAGACAGAGAAGGTGTGAATTCCCGGCATCCCGCGTTGCTATGCTTTCTTGTCTAACTGAATGGGAAGATGGTTGAAGCAGGATGGTATTTCTGCCCTAATGAAGAGAGTGACGATTTGGTCAGCTGTCCATACTGCAAACTCTCTTTGGATGGGTGGGAGCCAAAAGACCACCCCTTGTATGCCTTACCCTACCACCCACCTTTGATCCTTTCGTATACTAAACCTCTGAAATAGTGATGAACATTATCGTCGCTCTTCCGACTGCTCGTTTTTCGAATTCTCAAAGCACCCTAAGAAGTCTAGCAAATCGACGCGTGCCAAGGCAGTGCGTGGTTCAAAGGCTTCGCGACTATCTACACAATCGAATGCCACAGCTGTTTCCGAAGCACCGTCCGTCGACTTCGACGATACCGTGGACCAAAGTATTATATCACAAGGTGGAGCCCGTGCTTCCAAGGCTCCGAAGAAAGCAACCAAGTCAAAATCTAGAACTGCAAATACGAAGAAGGAAGAGCAGGCGGATGTTCCCAATGAGCGGGCGATCACTGAACATCATGACAAAGAAACATCATCTTTACTTGAAAGCCCTTCACGGGGCACAAAAAGGAAGAGCGCGGCAATCAGTGGGATGGAAGGAAATAACCTAGAAAATCACCAACTTGAGCCAGAGCCAAAGCCCAAGAAGAAACGTGTTACATCAACACGGACAAAGAAGGCCAGAAGTACAGCAAATTCTGTGGTTGATTATGCAGAACCTACGGATGACGAGTTAGGCCTGGAGGCCGCTTCAAAACCAAAGCGAGGCCGTAAGAAAGGGAGCACCAACAAGATACGAAGATCATCCATTGCATCCAATGCTCCAGCTACTTCATCCAATTCTCAGATACCCGATGACGATGAGCTTGATGCGCAGTTGGAAGCAGACCTTAACAAAGATCTTCCCGTGGAGGATATGGCCGGCAACGCAGCCGAAAAGGCCCGTGGCCAACGACGCAAGAAATCTAGCATGAAGGATGAACGTTTGGATGAGCCGCCCAAGCAGGAACCGCTAAAGAAAACTTCAACGAAGTCTACAAGGAAGAAGCAAACATCTACTTCTTCCGTGACCAAGCTAGTACAGCCCCCACAGCTGCATTCAGAAGCGGACGTGGATATGGACGAGCCGGTCGTCTCAATACCAACTCAGTCCCAAGAAGATACTTCGCCCCCTAAAAGAGTCAAACAAACCAAGGCGAAAAATACGACGAACACTACTAAATCTCGAAAAAAGAGGACTGAAAGTGATAATGTCAATGAAACCAGTCCTCCTGAGGCTACTGAACCAAGTGAGGAGGTGGAATCGTACAAAGAGGAACCAACAAAGCCTCGATTTTCTAAGGGCAGGATCAGTAAGAAAGATAGCGAGATAGATGCCGCCAAATCGACAAGGAGCAAGGGCCCCAGCAGCCAACGTCCAGAGACGGAGTCGTTGCCTCGAAAAGAGCGAGGCTCAACAAAACAGGAGCCTGACAGTCGGCCTAATGGTCAGCCCTCCGAAGAAGTACAGCAGGGCCAAGAAACTCCCTCTAGAATGAGACCATCTGCACAACAATCCCCCCGTGAAAATACCCCGTCACCGTCTCCTCAGACGTCTGATGCGGAAAACCGACCACCTTCAAGTAAGCCATCGACAATGTCCAAAACACAGACCCATACAGTTTCACAATCCATCGAGGAACCTTTGGCCACGAAGACACCCGTTCTATCTCCTTCAAAGGGAGAATCAAGCTCGAGACAACTGACCACAGCTGATCCTTGGGACCCCATTGACCCAGATGAAGCCCTCCTCCCTGATCCAACAGAAAAGGAGGGTGTCTCTTTAGCAGAGGTCTTGCACGCCGCAAAGGATGGGATTACCAGTCCTGAGAAGCGGATGAATATCGAAGAGTGGATATTCTGGAACGCAGAAAAGGGCGAAGAGAAATTGCGCAATGAATGCGAGAGAGTCGTTGGTATTTTTGAAAGGGAAGGCGGACGTGCAATGCAGGCACTGAGCGGAATCGAGTGCATAGATTAGCCAGACTCTTTAATGTCTGATCCATGATAATGTATATAATGCGGTTAAATGGCGTCGGGTCCGGGTAACTTTAGGGAGATTTTAGCACATAAACATCCAAAGCATAATAATGGCCTTGATACGTGTGATTCTGTGCATACTCACGCCCCTTGTAGGTCGAGGTCGATGCTTATATTTTTCCTGAAAAGGCCTTGCAAGGAAGGTCCACTGCTAGGGGTATCATAGTAGCCCATTTGTGGAAAATGACCGGCTCAAGATATAATACCGAGTCGACCCTCCCAAGCATCTTCTTGCTTACCACCGTCTTTGCCAGACTTTCTCCGCTTTTCATTCCTCTTCCTCCTCTTCTCCTCCCGCTCCTTAGCCTCCTCTTCTTCCCGTGTCTTAATTCTCAGGTCAAGATCCAATTGACCTGCCTTCCGATCCTCCTCCTCCTGCACCCGCTTCTTATTTGCCAGCCACCTTAGGCGGTTTCTAACCTCCACGACTCCAGCTCTCACAACTTCTCCACTTTGCCCCGTCGCATATAAATGCTGCTTGCTATTCAAATGTTCGACAAGTTGGATATTGTCCTTAAACGTCAAGTCGCAATCTGAACAATAAAATCCTGCACCACGGCCTCGCTTCCCTACAGCCGCACCAGCGGGAACCAGTGTTGTCTTTCCCACCAAGCTCGCAACATCAAGCCGGCTCGCGCGGGAAGTAGTAGCTTCAAGAGAGCTAAAATCAACCGGTGCATGGTATTTTTTGCCTTGTAGTTTGGCCTCGTAGCGGGCTTTGGCTTCTTCCTTTGACTTGGCTTCGTCTGCAGCCGCCTTTTCGGTATAGGCTTCGCGGTCCCAGGTCTTGCGGAATGAGGTGTCTGACACGGGTTTGTTATAAAACGACTTCTTGTCACTCATAGTAGCGGCTAGTAGACAGAAGACCGTAGATATATGATGCCGAGTATATTCCGTACGAGCACTTTCCGGGTAGCAGATTAGGGGTAAAAAGGGCCCCTTTGTGAATGCTGCTTGTTTGAAGGTAAAAATATCATGAAGCTGCTTGAAGTCGCCGCAGCTTTTGAAGCTTATCGTCTGGGATGGAGCCGCGATTGCTTAATAAGCATGTGCCTCTTGTTATTTGTCACGTGAAAATATTGAAGGGCCTCCCAATGTCCCCAGAAGGGAGAAACACATCAAACTCCTTTTTAGCCAAAAATCTTCCTATATCTATCTTCTTTCTCCAACTGAGCATCTCCATGTTGCTTTGAAGGTGTTTGCTTCATACAGCTACTCGGCAATCGGGCTAGGTGTATGGTGCATCTTTGGTTTTGCGTCTGCCTTGTGGTGGCTGTGGCTCGGCTGTGGTTTACGAGACGCAGTAGGCAACAGAGATACTTGAAGCCAATTCAGCAGACTATATATTCAGGCTACTTCTACGAGATTAATGCCAATATTTATGATATAACCTATACTTTTAATACCCTTATACTTGTTTTCTGTTGGCCTTCAAAATGGGACAAAATCAGCTGATAGCGCCTCTTGTTGGTTCGCTCTCGTTGATGTCAAAACCCAAGCCAGCCATCGCAATACCAAATAAGCAGTCGTTCATCCGCTTACCCACAGAGATACACATGCATATTGCATCTTTTCTATCATACCCGGATGCGTTGGCTTTAAAACATACCAACAGCTACCTCTACTCGCTAGTTCGAACGAACCTACCACTACGGGTCGATTGGATCATCGAACGCCATGAAAAAGGACTTACAGTCCCTCGAAAGAACTGCGTGCTTCGTACAGACGAATTATTCTGCAACAGCGAGGTAAATCAGATCATGGAGAGGAGGCGATGGCACCTTGAGTGCAAACGAGGGCATGCCGGTTGCCAGGTGATCGAAGGGTCAAGTTGTGGCGGTTTATCTGCCCAGCAGCTATTAAAGGGGAAGCGGCTGATGTTAATACTGAGCCGAGGGGGTATATATGTTGAAAATCGAGGTCAGCCCCTGAAGAGCTCCTTGATGCAGCTGCCTGAATCTTCGCTGACATGCCAAATATACCTAGTTCTCATCGTTGGAGTCTTACTCGGCATAATCGCTCTTCTTTGGAGATTCTTTACCGCCCACGGAGTGTAATTTTTGATCTGAAAGGCTTCCTTCCTTTCTTCTTCTAATACTCCTTTTTTTTTTTTTTCTTTTTCTTCTTCTTCTTCTTTTGGCTACGCATTTGTCACCTCTTGATTATACGATATGTATTTGCCTGCGGATATTATCCAAGGCATCTAATAATGACTGAGGATAACGAAATGTCCGCCATTGATCACGAAGTAGTATGTACCAAAGTAATTCCAGTTACTGGTTGGCCCAAGATAGTTTTTACCATATGTAGGCGATATATGTTATTGAAATGGCATCTCGTTTAGCAGGATCAAAGGGCCGAGGTTAACTTAGCCGACGCTGACGATCAACTGCACCTTGTATAAGATCTGGAGTAAAGCGGTTTTTTATATCTTTTACGTCTCTGCTTGTCCTCTCACCCTTGGTCTAATAGAAAACCTCCTTATCCATACCCAGCCCGCCTGCAAACATTGGAAGAGCTGGTTCCGGGAAAACTCCTGTCCCAGAAATGTCGTCAACCTCACAGACACCACTTTGGGTATCCCCAAATGCTGGAAACCACCCAATTGATAAGTATCGGCAACGAGTGAACAAGATATTCGGTCTTGACCTTCAAAATTCTTACCAGCTTCAGCAATGGAGCGTGAAGCATCCCCATGATTTCTGGATTGATTTGTATAAATACATCGGGATTGTCCCTGAACTTCCTCCTGATACCATTAGGGCATACGATGACACTCTGCCACTCAACTCGATCCCACCATTCTTCAAGGGCATAGAGCTTAATTACACAGAGAATATACTGCGATGGAAGAATCCTGAGGCAGTCGCCCTCATCGGCCTACGGGAATCTGACCCCCTGAACGGGGAGTTTGTGACCTGGAGTCAGCTCAATGAACGGATACGGGTTGTACGTAGTGCGTTGCTGCAACATGGGATCAAGCAAGGAGATAGAATAGGTGCTATTGTATCAACATCAATCTGGAGCGTGGTGCTTCTCCTGGCTTCCGCTTCAATTGGTGCTATCTTCTCATCCATATCACCGGACATGGGAATCGAGGTAAGTGAAGACTACTCTGGTAGGAGATAATACTGGAGTATTGTTGCTGGTAGTAACACTCAAATAGGGCTGTGCATCTCGGTTCCAGCAGATAGAGCCCTCCATTATATTTGCCGATAGCGATATGTCCTACAAGGGGAAGAGAACCTCGCTTGACGAGAAGATCAAGGCTGTCATGCAAAGACTACCCAAGTCACTCATCTTTGTGAACCCGATCAGTCATAGTAGCACGTCTTCATTCCCGTTGATTGGAACATTTTTATCAAAGTCTCGAGATACAGATGCCCTTGAGTTCACACGGGTGCCGTTCTCATACCCGCTTTACATTCTCTATTCAAGCGGAACAACTGGACCGCCAAAATGTCTCGTTCATCAACACGGTGTAGTTCTACAATTGCTCAAAGTATCCCTCCTTCATAACTCCCTTGGACCAAAGGATGTTGTTTTCCAATATACAAGCACTTCATGGGTACTGTTCAACATTATGAACGGACATCTTGGTGCAGGGGCAACGCTGATATGTTATGATGGCTCGCCGCTCTGGCCAGATGCGACCACCATGCTGAAGATATTGCAAAAGTTCAAGTATGTATACATAATGTATTTGCAGTCAGAGTATCTGATAGTCTCTTTAGGGTAACATACTGGGGAACCTCTCCGAGGTACTGTCTCGAGCTTGAGGCATCTAGAGTCATCCCGCGCGAGAAGTTCGACCTGAGTGCTCTCAGGATGGTAACGACCACAGGGTCAACACTGACGGCAGACCAGTTTCGGTGGTTTTATAAGGTATTCCCAGATGTCCATTTGAGTAGCGTGGCAGGGGGGACAGATATAGCTACATCCTGTAAGTCAATACTTTGCTTCTCCCTATTCCCGTATTTCGAAAGTAATAATAACATGGCTGTGATGTAGGGATTGCGAGCGACCCTTCTAGCCCCGTGTATGCGGGAGAGATGCAAATGTTCGCACTAGGAATGAACGTTGAGGTTGCAGATAGTGATACAGGGGAATCCATTACACATGTAAGAGCCTATATTTCGTGATAAATATTTGGGCGAGGCTTCGTTGATTACGGATCTAACATCTTAAATAGACTGGCCAGTCTGGGGAATTGATTTGCAGGACCCCGTTCCCATCAATGCCAGTGTTTTTCTGGGGGGATAAGGATAACAAAAAGTACAACTCCTCGTATTTTGAACGGTACGAACATATCTGTGTTTGGGCTCAGCATGACTGGATCAGCGTGAACCCAATCACCAAGGGTATATCAATGTATGGAAGAAGGTGTGTCATGGCTTTCAATGCAGGAACATATTGCTCATATCACTAACAAGTTGTACACAGTGATGGTGTGTTGAACCCATCAGGAATCCGCTTTGGCAGTGCTGAGATCTATGCGATATCTGAGGGACCTCAATTCAACACCGAGATTGAGGACACACTCTGTGTTGGAAGACGCCGTGCAAAGGACAAAGACGAGGAAGTCTTCCTTTTCGTCAAGATGAGAAATCAAGCTCAGAACAGACTGACCCCCGAGCTAGAGCAGCGGTTAAGACTCGCAATACGGACCAGTCTATCGGCACGCCATGTACCCAAGTTCATTGTGCAGGTTCCGGAGATACCTGTGACCATCAATGGGAAGAAAGTCGAGATTGCGGTTAAGAAGATTACCAGCGGGAACAAGGTGCAAGTCAGCGCGACAGTGGTGAACCCAAAGGCACTGGAGTTCTATGAACAGTTTTATGAACTTGAGACCCAACCGAAGGCTAAACTGTGAGGATAGGATGCTAGCTCATGCATAATGAGTTGCCAGGTTAATAACCAGGTTCAAATAAGGCTATGGACTAGGAGATGCCTGACCATAGGCCATATGCAGTGATAGAAGTGACACTGAAACTTCAGCAAAATGATCAAGTTAGGTAGACATAGAGCTTTGATACAATTTTGAGAATTATCGTGTCACAGATCCTTCCCTCTTATGTGTAGAATCCTTCCAGAAGACATTTCCAGGGGTATCTTCTTCAAGTTTGTGAACCATCCAACTTCAGCATCGAGACTCTCGGGAACATACATGGAGAACAATGCAAGGTGCAAAAACCTAACCAGTGTGACGATTTCTCACATCACACCAGTTCGCAAAAACATGCAGGTATTCCAGCTAGCATCCCGTTGGCTTTGACTTCTAAAGAGAAAAAGCAGGATATCGGACGGACAGCGTCCCCGAAATGTGCTCACGCCCTCGCTTTGAGTACCCCAGACATGCAGGCAACGCGAGGACGTCATCGCACGAAAGAAGACCCTGTCGACAGGCGTTCATGCAATTGCCAAAGTCAGTCTAGCAGGCCTGCTGGGAACTTTCTTAGTCGAGCATGATATGCATCCAACAGGCCAGGGGGAACGGATCGAGCGATGGACGATGGAGGATAAGCGTCTTCTCCCCCGATCTCTGAGCGGGAATGGCGGGACCCCCTTTTTGCATATGTAACGAACGCACATACCAGAAGACATGGGAGGAGACAAAGTAGCTAACTTGTTTCTGGTTAGTTACTCCGCCAGACGGGTTGGACGGGCGTAAAAAGACATGTGGAAGACGTTGAGATCGCAGTCGGGTATTTATACATGCGCTGGCTAGCCGGCTGCTCGTGTTGATATTTGGCTGCGCAGTTTGATATCCGCCGAGACTTGCTTGATGTAAACTAGTTCTAGATGAGCCCCTGACTGCAAATATGTAATATGAATGACATATCAACCTCGGACGGCCTATAAACGAAATGAATACAACCAGACGAGGGCTCTAGGCGTTGGTCGAATCGTCAAGTCCGCCGCGTTGGCCAGTCGATCTCATCGCTCAGGCCATCCATCCACCGCTGCGCTGCTCTCTCAGCCGCCTTGCTCTTTCACACGCGGAAGCCCTCCCAGCCATCTCCGCCGAGGTCGTATCGTGTCGATTTAGTTGTAACGGAGGAGAGTACTTGAGTTAACTTACCTGCTTGTAACTATATTAATAGAAACTCTCGTGTGCGTGTGGAGTTGGGCGGGATCAGAGCCAGCCACCAAAGCCAACGCCGGAACTTTCTGAGCCAAGTTGTTGATCAGAGCGAGCAGAGGTATTGATCTTCCCGAGGAGGCTGTAGGCAGCTGATGTTTGCTCTCTTCTCGACTGATGATTAAGGGCAGAGGAGACCCTGTAGGCGCTGCTTTCTTTTTGATATACGAGGCCTGGCTGGGAACTGGTTGACAACTCTGGACTACGGGTAGAGGTACGAGAATATACAAAATACGGAGTACGGAGCAGTTAACGAGCTGACTGGTCTGTCTAGCTGTTTGATTCCTGGCGCCGACGCTCGCAGTGCTCCAAAAAAAAAAAAAAAAGGCACAACCCCTGAAGTACGGAGTACGCTCCGCAGAGTTGCTGCCCATTGAGCCTCTCAGGCCGTCAACTAGATTCCTTTCTCTGTAGTTGCCACCCCGTGAATACACTCTTAAACTCTTATTTGAGTGAGATCGTGTTGCCAGTGTAAAGTAAGGGGTATAATAGTTGTGGCGCTTCACGGTTGTGTCCCGAGCCATGCATAATGAAGTTAAAGTATGAAGTATTCACCAAGGAGGCAGATTTCATGTACATGCTATTATCATCTTGGCTCGGGTTAATCTAGGAGTCCACGCCATCAAGGTCGGGGACGATACGTCCAGCTTTCATAGGCCTCATAGTTATAAACTAGTGCATTTTAGCAGGATGATGGTAGAACAAACCTACCTGTCGGCTAATTATTAAAAAGTCTAGTCCATCCATACTCTAGGTGTCAGGCGCGCCCTGTAATCTTGCTTGGAATAGGTTGTTGGCCCAAGATTCGAAGCTGCGGACGATGTTATTGACTTCCACTTTCTAGCCATTGTTGGTGCTAGAGAGACTCTAGCTGCCATCTCGTTGTCAACGTCGAAAATAATATCGTCAATATATTTTGAAATGAAATGCATGTGAAACAACAAGATCGCCAGTGGTGCAATCCTATTGATGTATGAGCATGGCTATGTTTGGCTGCGCAGCAGTCTAGGGGGGTTATTGGTACTTACAACATGCTCGACACCCATCCTGACCCTGATAACTAGTAGCTGGCAAGCGAGCAAGTTAGTAAATCGGACTAATAATGGAGACAAAGCCAATAAGGATAGAGCCTGGACAGGAGAGTAGCAACAAAGTGGTTGTCCTATCTACTCTCCAGATATCTCGGTCAGTACCTTCGCGAGGGCTTCGACGATAATGTACGCCTCTAGAGAGGACGGTCAGCCTCTAGATACGATGCGAGAAGGACATCTCAGATCTCAAGATTCGCTCCTATGCAGGCGATGGACTGCCATATGCATCGAACTGCTGGTAGCGTCAGCGCATAGAATAAACAAACCACGCTAGATTTGACCGTTTTATCACACTAGACCAGACCGTAAGACGGGCCCAATTATTCGGTATCGTTGTCTGATATCAGGCCGAGTAGTTATCGTAGGCTGGCTCCTCAATGACATCTTGAGTCGGTGATGAATCCTCTAGCCATTGGTGATATCTGTTGACTGCAGCGACTTCTCTGGCTCCGTAACTCAGTATTCTTTCGTCTTTCGCTCCTGGTTGGAGGATACCCCGTCCTGCGATGGGGACAGACGGCTGGAGAATCCCTGGCAGAGCTAACGAAGTAACTCGCCAGGCGTCACAGGCATCACACGAGCAGCAGAGACGTGGCTCGCTCGGTTACTCCATTGGATCCATGGGCGGGCTGGCTGCCTCTAACCGACCTGGCTGGGCGGCTAGAAGCCTATGTATACAGCTTGTTCAGTTGTGATTATTAGGGGCTTGCAGTGGTGATATCCAGGCCTGGTATAGGCGAAGGTCGCCATCCCGGCAGGCCAGCCAGCACCAGACTGGCTGTTTCAATCTTATTAGCAGCAATTAAGGGACGAGGATGGCTCGCTCGGTTCCAGACGAGCATCCCCTGGAGCTTGCTCGCGCATGCATGGCCTGGCTTGTCTTGTCTTGCGTCTTGAACCTCCTTCTCCTCCCCTCCACCTCACCTCGCTCTCGCTCTCGCTCCTCGGGTCCCGCCTCGCTTGTGTTGCTCTCACGATGATCGCCTCTGCTTTGGGGGTTGCTGTTCTATATCTGTCTCCGGCGCCGAGGGGTGCATTCGCCTTTTGCTGCGTATTCTTATTCTTATTCCATGTTTTGTTCTTAGCGGTCGATTAACTAGCAAACCGCAATAATAGGAGTAAAGCCAGCAGCGAAAAAAGCAACGACGCCGACGAAGAAGCAAAAGAAAACTTAGAGCCAGCCATGCACAGAAGACACAGCGACAGGTGGGCCCCCCTGGGAGGCGCGACGATCCAATCATGCCCGAACGGCCGCCAGTGATCTCGTGAAGCTGGGATGTCGCTTGACGTAAGATTTGGTCGGAGGTCACAGGCGTCCCGCCGACCAGATATCGGGCTCCTGGCGCGACAAGACGACTGAGAATGGGCGGGCATAGCTAAGGAGGAGCCAGAGACAGCGGCAGGGATGGTCCTCGCTGCGGTGCTGCTGCCGCTGGCTGCGGTGGTGCTGCTCTCAGGGGGTGTCGACGGCAGGTTATCAGATATCAAAAATGGCCCCCTGAGGATGCCATCGCCAGCATCAGCATCAGCACCAGCAGCATTACTCTGTGCCCAGCACCTTGATTCAATAAGACAGCCCGCACGCAGCCTGCAAGAGACATTGGTCTCTCCAAGCCCTGGCTCGTATCCAATGGCCACACTGTGCTTCTTACGTCCGCTTCTCCACAGACCGGTCCCTCTGCTTCAAACCCTGGTCCCTGGCCCGCTTGACCTCTCTGGCTCTGCTTGCCTCTGGCTGCTCTGCTTCCTTTAAACCCGGGGCGATCGTTCCCGTCTGTCCCTTCGTCCCTCTGCGCTGGCCTTGTCCCTCCCTCGCTTTGCCGAAGCTGTCTTGTTCCCTGCTGTGCCCTGTCGAGGCGCTCTTGTCTCCTCTCCTCGCCTTCTCCCTTCTCCTCCTCCTCCTATATCTCCTCCGTCTTCCCCTTCATCTCCCTCCTGGCTCGTATTACTACTGCTAGCATTCTGATTATGCCCTGTATCGCCAATACGTCAGATTCCACGTGTGGTTTTGCGCAGAAAAAGAAACGACCCGAAGCCAACGGCGCAAAAGGGCACGGAGCAGCCCATATCTAGGAGTTGCTCCTAGAGCTACAACCGCCCGGCTGCTGTGCATAAAACTACGTGCTTCCGACGATTCTTTTGCCTCCGTCGCTAGCTTTCCCCGGATTCTGCTCTGCTCTGCTGCAAATCCGGCCTGGGTGTCTATGCGCTGTGGCCCAGGAGAAGACGCTTCCTGGCGTGTGTTGATGGACTCCGGAGTCAGGCTATTACGTCCTGATATAACATACATATACATACGTATATACTCCGTATATACTGCTGCATCTACAACAACAACAACAACAGCTGATACTGAACATCCCGTCACTCTCTGCGATGGTCCTGGATCATAGCCTGCCGCTCGGAGCCTAGGACGCCTGCTCTGCTCTCCTCTTTCTTCACGATGGACATGGACTCCGGCTTCTCCTCCAAGCTGTACTCCCGGCCCCCCGGGGCCCAGACGAGGATGCAGGTCAACCCGACGCTGCTGGTGAGCTGGTGGGCGACGGGCTTCTCGCTCGCCATCATCCTCGTGCGTGTCTGCGGCCGCTACATTCGGACGGAGAGGCTCTTCATCGAGGACTGGGTGATGGCGCTCAGCATCATCCCGCTGCTCGTCCGCATGGGCTTTACCCATGTAGTCCTGCTGTTCGGCACCAACAACGCCTCGCAGTACCACCACCGCTTCACGCCAGACGAGATCCATAGGCGCGAGATAGGGAGTCGCATGGTACTTGGTGCGAGGATCTTCTACGCCATTTTGTAAGTTTTTTTTTTTTTTTTTTTTTTTTTTTTACGTCAGACTTGGTATATAACTACCTCCTTTTATACAGCATCTAACGTTGGATATACAGCATATGGACGGCCAAGTTCACCATTGCCGAATTCCTGGGACGCATCACGGCGCAGATCTGGAGGCGTTCGTTCCAGTATGTCCTCCAGATTATCCGCTTCTTCCTCGCAGTCACCTTCGTCGCCGTGGTCATCACCACCTTGACCGAGTGCCAGCCCTTCAACCACTACTGGCAGGTCTCCCCTGACCCGGGGCCGCAGTGTCGCCAGGGCTATGCGCAGCTCATCACCATGGGGACTTGCAACGTCGTCACTGACTTGCTCCTGGTCATGTTCCCCATCCCCATCATCCAGCTGTCCGCCATGCCCACGGGCCGCAAGATCTCCTTGACGCTGCTCTTCACTCTCCCGCTCGTTCTGGTGGCCATTACCTGCTACCGGATACCGTCCGTCATCTCCCACCGAGGATCCCAACAGTATCGCTCCTTGCTGGCCTCCCTCGAGATCCTCGCTGCCGCTGCCGTATCGAACGCCATTGTCATTGGATCCTTCGTCCGGGACCGTGGCCTGAAGAAGCAAAAGTTCAAAGCTGCCTCGTTCAGCGAGAGCTTGGAACAGACGACCTCCCGCCGGGCCACCATCACTCACCACCATTGGGGCTCTGATGCAGATCTTGTCAGCGACCTGGGCATCAGGCTTGATCCCAGTCTGCGGCCGCTGAGCTACCAGAAGATCCGGCCTGCTCCAGTAGCCGTTCCTCACGCTGTGTTGTCCAAACGGGGCTCCGTGGATCGCAACTGGCAATTCCCATCCGCACAGCAGCTTGCAGATGACGACCGTACGTCCACCTCTGATAGCCTAAGCGGTCTGAAAGTCCATCCTTACGAGTATATAGAAACAAACTCCCGTCCGCCAGCCCGCAGGTCCAACAGCGGCACCCCGTCCAAATACATCTCCCTTTCCAAGGTATCCCTCAACGACGTCGGCGGACTGCTCGATCCCCCCAAGCCCAAGGAAGAGCCCATCCCTCCGCCTCCCGCAGCACACATTTCTTCCCCCAACGCCCTCCCCGAAGCCCCTGGACCCTCGCGTAGCCGGACACATCTCTTCCGCGCCGTGGCTGGATTCCTCTCCCCGTCAAGCAGCGGAAGCTCCCCCAGACAATCCTCCCCATCTCTAGGCAGTTCTCCACGGGTGTTACCCAATTTCTCGCGCCCTACACTCGACAGGACATACCTGGCTACTGGAGCTCGGGCAGGGCCAAACCACGACAGAAGACCGTCTTCTCCTGGTATATCGCCTGACGAAGCTCGTCCTCGAGATGACTCACCAAGTGCCCCGGGGAGTGCCTGAACTACAGCATCTCAGTGGTCTATTAAACCGCGATATCGAGAGTAAAATGCGCTACTCAAAGAACCCTGATCTACGATCACCTGCTGCTTCGAT